TAATCAATATGCATGTGAATATATGCATATGAATATTTGCCAATTCTATTCACAAATTTAATACCTTCAGACTCGCGAAAATTCAACTAGACATTTGGCTTTTCAGCAAAATATTGCTTTTCAAGTATTTATGCATGCAGTCATGTATTGTATTTTGAAGAAACAAAGAGTAAAATTTTAAGAAACAAAAATATCATTAGAATCTGATTTTTCTAAAAATACTGTCAGAAATTGTAGATTTGTCTTTAAAACAAAGTTATGTATCCATGTTTGTGTATCCACGGTCATTTTACATAAACCTTCGGTACGGCATTAAAATTAATTTCGGTCAGAGTAATAAATACATAAATAAAATTCGTACCCTTTCTTAGATATTATATTATTTCTAAAATTTCATTCAACTTCACAAACAAGATTATTAAATTTCATTAAGATTAAATATTTTCTCAGCCAATTGACAAAAAGTTTATGTAAAATATTCACTTTCATTATTTTACGCTAGGTAGTTGGAAATTATCAGTGTGAACTGATGTTCGAAACTGTAAGGAATTACGTACATATAAAAAATGAAATAATTAAACCCGAAAAAATCACCATTAGCATAGCAAAGATAAATAATTTCAAAAGAATTATGCCTGAAATACCAAGTTTAGTTTCAAAATCCATTTCTTAAATATTCAAAGTTTGAGTCTCCGACAATAAAGCGTTTTGTGATATTAAAATGATTTCGTAAACATCTTGACAGTATTAAATCAAATTATTTTCAATAAAAATTTTTATTTTGGTCAACATTTTACAATTTACTTTTAGAAATAACTACATACATAAGTACATATATGTATGTATGTTTTCAAAATAAATTGATTTTTAATTATAATATTTTTAGAAATAAAAACAAAATAGCTAATACAATTGAAAAAATTACTTTCTTAAGACATTTACTTACATATATTTTATAGTTAATTACTATACGCCAAAGCAATATCAATTATTTTAAATAATCTCAGAAAGTTGTTATTCAAGTTATACAACTTAACATATTTTTTACTTGCACTCAATATTTATTACATATGGTTAGTGAATACAAAATTTCAATTGTACATTTACAATTAAAACACGAGTCATATACTTAAATTGATACTCTACTAACCTGTTTTACAATTCTACAACACCTTTATAAAGTGGTTCAAGTATCATTCCTCTATTTTCAAAGATATTCGTTTTTTTTTTGTATTTTTTCCTCTATTCATCCGTTGAAAGGTATAGGAACTGGATAGTATGATTTAAAAATGAAAAAAAATGAGTTGAAAAGTATCTCAAGGTGAAGTATACGCAAAATATAAAGAAAATATATATGAGATACTGAATAACTGAACAGTAAGTAAATAATGTTGAAATCATCATTATTCATTAATGTAAAAAAAGTAGTAAATTTTTGTCTTTTGTTTTAAAACTTAGCTAAGCTATAAAAAAATAATGAAAGTATTCCAAATTCAAACGAACGTTTATGAAAAAAGCTGAGTAAAATATTAATTTGACGTCAATTTTAATTCACTAAAAAAGTTCATTTGAACAATAATTTTTCTTTATAACATGCATATATTTTATTTTTTATTTATTGCCCAATAAACTAAAGTACTTACAATATTCTGGAGATCTCTCACCAAATGATTACATCAATTTATGATTTATAATGAATAATAATTGCACATGATTCATGAATAAGAACTATACAACTACAATACAAAAATAATTAATATAAGCCGGTTTTAATATAGAGTGAATATTCTATCTATATGCATACTAAGTAACTCAGTCAAAATATTATTAAAAATAAAAAATATCGGGAAAACAACTTCTCTAATTGGTATGGTTCAAACTAAATTCAAATTGAATATCTCAATTTTTATACAATTCATCTAGCCAACTTGATTGCATTACATACCATATTATAATAAATATGTCCAACATTTTTTATAAAACGAGTTTATATATATAATGTACATACATATATATATATATAAACTTGCTTTATAAAACATGTTGGATTATAATCTAGAACAGAGTCAAACACAAAACAGTAAAAACTTGATAGCAGCAGGCCGATACTTTTTAAATCCGACCCTTTACAACATTCATTGTAATTAGTTTTGCAACCCATACTTATTTGTTAAGCCTTATAGTGCACTGCAACAATAATTATTTAATATTTATTCAATTACGAATATTTCCTTTAATTTTTTTTTGCTGAATTAAATTTTTTAACACAATAAGTAAGAGTTGTGTCAGCACATCGTCATTTTATTCTACAAAATATAAAATTTCTTTAAACTAAACCACAACGGTATCATATTTTCTGTATACTATTTGTAGTAGAAGTAGTAATAGAAAATTTTGATATTTCTAACAACTTTAACTATGGTATCAAATATTATAATTTGACTTTTAAATGCACTTAATAACCGCTTGAAAGATGAAAGACTGCTTAAGTTAGAAACGAATTCAACTTCTTCAAACTACAGTAATCAGTTATTATATTATACAGTTACTAGAATTTTATAATTTTAGAAGTTGAAAATAAAAAAAATTTGTTTGTTTAGAAACAAATTTCTTTAAAAAAAAAGCCTATGGAAGTTATGCAATTGAATTTCTCTTTAAGAACAGAAAAAATATTTAATTTCAATTAAAAGGACCTTTAAATGAACTCAACAAAACTTTCTCTTGCAGCATGAAATTTTTTAGTATCGTATAATGTCTTATCGACTTATTTTGACGAAAATAACCAAACTCATTAGCTAAATGCACCAGTGCATTTGTACTGTAAAGTAGACACAAAAAAAAATTTTGCTTCGGAAAACCGAATTAAACACATATTCTACAAATCACGTACGAAATCAAAAATAATAATAATTTTATTACATACGTAAATTTGTTTCTTAGTAAAAGTTTATTCTCTATGATACGATTTCCAAATCAGAACTCTAATATTAAATTCCAAGAAATTCTGTTAATTAGTTTCTTAATTGTAAAATCAGGCAACGGAGAAAAGGTCTTTTCTTGAAAAGAAATGCGTTTCCGCTGAAGATTCGACATACAAAATTTGATACCATAACGCTTCACTTCTCTTATTCCATGCAATGCGGTCTATAAAAAGAAGCAATTTACAAATCATGGCACAGCAATACTTCGGCAAACAATTACAGGAAGGGGAATGCAGGAAGCCAAAAATTTGGTAAGAATAGTGCAAGCCATTTCATGATTTTGCAAGCAAATAATAATAGATTTTTCACTTTAATAACCGGATGATATCGCTTTAAAAGTGTTGCTGCCATCTTTAACGAGCACGCAAAGATAGCAACACTTCAACTCGTAAACGAATAAACTGCACACTGTCGTACATTTTATAGAGTTGTATGTATATATATATATAAATATGTAGCTATGTATATAAAAAGTGAATTTAATAAACGTAGTGAATTTTCACTCAATCGAAATTTAAAATCCTCTGTGTAATTCTAAGCGATAGTAATAGTGAAATAACAGCAGCCAATTTTTTTCTACTAGAGTTTATGTTGCGAAAAGTTTTCAAAATTTTGTGATTTTTAAAAAGATATAAATGCTATAAGAAATTATTACCTTATTGTTGGTTAACATGAAAAAGAAAGTAAAAATTACTTTTATATTTGTATGTAGATATTAAACACGAATTTGTACTTAAGGAAAGTAACAAAATTATAAATTCATAAAGTTGGGTGAAATTTTAGCAAATAAATTTCTAAAAATATTGTCCCTCATTAAATTTTTAAAATAAAATTTAAATCACGATTTTTGGTACTCGTAATCTTGCTTTTATTAAAAAAGTTTTCCTGCATAATAATTTATTTGAAATTTGTGATTTCATGAAAGATATGGAAATGAAGAAACTATAGCAAATTTTTAGGATCATGATTTTGGTATTCCAATAAGTTATAAAAAAAATAATATTTAGTGCAATCATTTTATTTTCTGGAAAATAACACATACCGAGGACCTACTTAAAATTTTCTAACTGTAGGCAAATGCGATATAAGCAACTATATGTCAACTCAAGTAAAAAATTTTCCATCTTATACACTAATTTTATTAAATTTTCAAACTAAAACTATGTATTATTTTGTCCGTATTAGAGATTATTTTGTTCATATTATAGAAGTTTGCATTTCCTATGGATATGCATGCATAAAAGCCTTGAGATATTCCTTTCACAAATTTGGAAAACTAGGTTAATTAAATAAGAATAGTAAGGATTAAAAATTCCTATAATATATTTCATTTAGATAGAACATCTAGATCGGTTCCTATCAATTGCGGCCATATGGAATATCAGTAACTATAGCATATTTTAAGGATCACAAAAAAAACAACTAAAATTAGCCCACAGAAGTTTCTTCAGGGAGCTATAATTTTTTACTTTTGTGTACTTAAAAAAATGTTAATTTCAATCTACTTATAAAATAATATGTTCCGGCAATAAGCTCAAAGACTTTGCCATTCAAAGGAAAAAACAACGAAACATTTCTCGAAAAAATCTTTATAATTATAAAATTTTAGAAGTTGATGTTTCTCTCTATAAATTATTCTCTATAACTTTTTTCTTTATAAATTGTAATAAAACTAGATCTATTTTAAATCTTAAACCGGAAGTAAAGTTTGTTATGCATTTTAGTTACTGAATAAAGTTTTTTTATGGCGAAGTATTTCAATAAAATATGTTTATGAAACTTGGTAGCGTATTACCTATAATAAATTCAGATACAAGCAACAAGCCTAAAAACAAAAATTTACTGATGCTTGAAAAATACTGAATATGTTACATAATTTTTCCCATAGGTATAAATCGAGCTTAAAACTAAACTTCATCACAATTTTCCATAAAAATAATGAACATTTACAAAAAATATGATTTATGTTTAATATTAAAAAAAATGTGTATATTCTTAGATTTAGAAATAAATATTTACTCGAAATATTGTGCATCTACAGTTGTTGCTGCTAATAAAAGTAAACCACAAGCAATAACGGAAAAAGAATAATCTTTCGCCATGTTCTTTATTTTTAGTTTCAATATATAATGATAGCTATTCTGTTATCACTGCTTTTGTTGAATGCAATTTTGTTGGCCTCCTTTCACCACAAATTAACGGTATATATTAATCCCCTTTTTTCTTTGTTATTAAAATGTTTATCACTTTTTAAAATTGAAATTTAAATAAAAAATAAAATAAAAACTTTTCTTTTTTGTGTGCAGAAGATTTCACTCTACTGAAAAAAAATTTCTCAACTCCTTTCAAATATTAATTACATATACAAATGTACATAAGTATACACAATATTCACAGTAAATACAAAATTTCACTTCTTATTTTTAATTGAATAAAAACAACAAAAAAGTTTTCGCCGTTATTTTTTACTCTTATTTTTTAACAAAAGAAAAAATCGCTACGCGCGACGCTCCAACAATGCTTTTTTATTTGGCGTTTAGATGCTTACAGCTTACAACTTGATTTTGAACTAAACCAGAAAATTTGTTCAGCTGGTATTTATAAGATATACAGCACAACTTACTAATAATAAAACATACATAAATGAATATTAGCTGACTGGTTTATTTCAAATCTATTATGTGTTTGTGGCAAACAGATGATTCTGGAATTTCTTTTCGATCTTTTCGCTTTGCTGTTTAAAAATTTACAAAACATTTTTTATTTTTATTTTGTAGAAGGGGCGCTGGTTTTATTGAACTGTTTGTATGTTGGTATATTTTATATGTTTTGTATTTAGGGAAAAAGAAAAATACAAACTATTATACATGAAGTATGTACTATTATACACCTACATTTATACTCATTTTAAATTATGCATTTATAACTGAGTTAATTTGAATTTATTTTATGTAAATTATAATATGTGTATTATGTAAATATATTTATATTTAACTTCATACATAAAAATGTACATAAAAACATTTACGTGAATGTGTGTGAATAAAATAAAAAAAAAATAAATAAAATTTCTGTGCACCACAGAAATTCTGTGAAATGAGTTAGCGCTGTGGATTCTGGATAAATGTTTAAGGAAAAATAACAAGACAAATTACAAGTACTTTTACAATTGCGTTATTAGAGCTATGTATGTACATTGTATATTAATATTACTTATTAAAGGCTCTTTCTAACCTATTATGTATATTTAAAAAGACTTTTATACATACATTTTATAACTAGAACAATTTTAGGAGACTAAAGTTTCCTCTTAAAAATTATTACGATTTTTCTGCAAAATTTACTTATTTTTTTAAAATTAATAAAGCTTTCTAGAAAATATTGCTAAAAGTTTAAATTAGCACCTTACATAAAGTGTAGTTTCGGTAATATTACCCTTTTTAATATCATGATCTCCCACAAGATCAATTGATTTATATGTATTTTTATTTAGAAAAAGTTAAAGTTCAATCTTTTTCTACTGTAGTGTTAGCATTTTTATAGTTTTCTATTATATTAAAAATTGATTTCCAGACTCCGTTAATTTTTAAAGATTTTCAGAAAACACTATACTATAAAAAAAGAAATCAAGATTTGTTTTTGTGATGCATCAAATCGACTTCTTGTGTTTTTTCAAATTTTATATGCATACTTGTGTATATACTTTCATATACAATATATATATGTACATATATATATATGTATGTTTATCTGTATGTTTTTTACAGGATGTTTCAGTAATGAATACCACATAATATACCATCGTTTATTTCTCTAAGATTTATTGCACCTATTTGAATAAATATTTAAAATTTAGTTGGATATCAAATGATATCGTTTTGCAATCATCTCAAGGAAGATTCGACCAAAATAAATATCGCAATGTTATCGCTTACAAGAAAAAACAATTCAAGCAAAAATTTATTTTTCATTATCGCTTAAATACAAAGCAAATTAAATCGAAACTGATATCGCTTTTTTATCTCTTGAAAGATAATATTGGAAGATATTTTGAACTGATGTCTTTCGAATTGGGCTGTCAAAAGTATGACATGATGTGCATCTTTTTTTCTCTGCCGGGCGATATGAAAGCGATGTTGCATATAAATATATAAACATATCGTCGTTGTTAATATTTAAAATTTCTTAAATATTAATGAATGTGCTTTTTTAAAAGATAAGGGAAAATAAATTAGAATTTATATACATATAATATCTATCAAAAATCAATAAAAAAAAATAGTTGTAAGCTGTTTTGAAGAACGATATATGTATGTATTTACACACATACATATATATATATAGGTATCACACTTTCATCTTAAAAAAGATATAAACGCAAATGACTATATTTTTATACCCGTACAAACGTATGTTCGAAGGGTATACTAAATTTGCCCCACCGTTTGTAACGCTAAGAAATAACGGTCTTAGATATAGACTCAAGTGTATGTTTTTGATCAGCGCCGAATTCTGAGTTGATTTAACTTTGTCTGTCCGAACGTCCGTCCGAACGATAACTCATAAACTAATTGAGCTAAACTCACCAAATTTTCACAAATGTTTTATTGTAGTAAGCGCCAGAACCCTATTTAAATTTGACAAAACTATAAAAGCTATCGTATTGAAATTTCACACAAGCGAATATATTAGTAGGGCCAATGTGTGTCATAAAAGTCTTTGAAATTACTTGGCTGCTTCTGATAGCTGTCGTACAACTTCAAAAGTTATTTGGCACACACAGTATTTTGAAAAACACAGTACTGAAATTTTGCATAAATTAATATGGTAATACGGCAACTTAAAGTCTTACTCTGTCCCATAGTCATTTATGGCATATTTACTCGCACATATGATAACAAATTCGTACGGGTATCACAGAGTTTTTTATTAATTGTTAAATATCCTATGTGTTAAATAGAAAAAAATTATCGTTAGCTAGGAATTGCGCATATGCAATTTCCACGTTTATTTTGTGCCTCCACTAGATTTAAGTGATTAGACATACATACATCATAGATGCCTGCGAACAAGTTCCCTCAACTGAAAAGGAAAGCCGTATGGACCGAATCATACGGCAAAATCTTTTGCATGTAAGAAACCGTATCACTAAAAGGAAATATAAAATAAATAGTAATGAAACGGTAGAAAAAGTATTTTTCTGCGTAGTATTTTTTTATAAATTTTTAATATAAAGTCGCAAAGAAGGGGCGAATTTTAAAATGAAAGAACAATTTCGTGCATTCCTACTTCATTTTTCAAATTATTCTTTACTCTCACTGTACATTCCAAATTATTGGCGATAATACAGATTATTTACTCACATTAAATAATCATTTACAAAATTGCTCTTTGTTACACATGATTTTGAACAACAACGTACGAGCGATAAAAATGCCATATCGCTTATATATCCCCTGTATGAAATATAGGCGACTTACATACATACATATATTCAAGAAGCAAAAAATAAGAATCGAATTTCTGTCTTTCAAGCGATAAAGAGGTGATCGTGATATCGCTTTTTATCTTCTCTGCGATACGGAGCATCAATTCATCGGATTTTGTATTCAGTCATTTAATTTAAATTCAGTCATTTACCTTCATTATATTATCTTCTGAAAAAATCGCTTACGGGCACCATTTACTCCCGAGAATCTTATCTTCTTCGATATCTTCCAAGAGTAATTAGTATCGAATTAGTATCGCGGAAGATTAAAATTTCCTCCTAGGATAGCTTCATAAAAATGTAGATGATAACAACAATGATGACACGCTCCAATATGATGTCCAATATTTGCTTTTATAAATGGGATAACTAAGAACGACGCGATTGCAAATAATTATATTTAAATTTATTAAAAACATTATTTAGTAATTTGTACTAGTAATTTTATAATTTGAGAGGAATAGTCTTAATCCTTTTAACTGATATTATTCAAATATTGTTTTAACTATTATGTATAGGACCATTTATGTAGTATTCAACTGGGATGTGTTAAATTATCTCCACTAAGTGCAACCACATACTTTTCGCTGATTTTGATCGTCTAGTCACCTAATACCTAATAATCCATAAATGAATTTATAGATATAAACAAAAATGTATTACATAATATTTTTCAAATATAGTGAATTTCGTAGGAAAAAAGAGCTGAAGTTTTTAGTTTTAATTAAGTATGTTATATAGTTTCTCAAATAACACATAAAAAATTTTTTTCACTTTATTATAAATAGCATCAAAAAATAATTTTGCTTTAGTTTAGAATATTGAAAAAGTAAAAAGGTACTTACAGCGTTCTTTAATGAAAAAAATGTAATATTTCAATATACATATGTATGTATGTACATATGTAAGTACATACATACGTATAAGTTTTTCACTAAGCGTTACCATGAACAATTTTTTCGACTCTCATATCTTGCTTCCAATGAATAACAAATTAATAATTATGGTATACTGAATCAAAATAAATGAAAATAAATCGGCACATGTAAACTTTACCAGCAGAACAATCAATCCCTTTGAAATAGTCTTAAATAATAAAGTGGGTATGACTTTAGTCATAAAACTACGTTGGAAGGAGCATATTAAAAAGAAGAAATTATTTTAATAAAATTAAAAATTAAGGAATGCTGATTGATAAAAATTCTGAAATAAATATTTACAACGAACTATTGGATTATAAACAAATAATTAAGCCCATATGGACGTGTGGAATTCAGCTTTGGTGGCACATCCCCATGCAAAACAAGCATACAAACAATTCAAAATATCCAAAATAAGCTTCTTCGTAATATTATGAATGCACCCTGGTACATGAGAAACGTATCGATTCATAGAGATTTAAAAATTACTACTGTCGAAGAAGAAATCAAAAAGCACTCAACTAAAAATAAATCTAAAATACAACAACATACTAATAACGATAAGTAACCTACTTTAAAAACAAACCAACCCGCGCCTGCAAGGCAGGAGATCACTTGATCAATTATATCACAACTGATAAGAAACAACCGATACTGGAGAACTGCCACTGTATAGTATGGCCGCACAACGCTACTTAAAAGATAAATTGAATTGCTTGTTAGGTTGAAAGACTTAGTTGCAATAATTAATTAAAATTAAAAAAAAAAAAATGGTGTAGTGAAAATTAAACAGTTGCGCTTGCTCACTCCAAAACATCATTTCGTTCAAACATATTTATTTCATTTTTTAATATTTTTTGTATTAATTCCTACCTTATTATTATTCGTTCTAAAAAAACGAGCCCAACGTCTTGAATAAAAATACCAAAAGCATCTTCAACAGGAAATTCAGGATGAAAATTCAATATTTCGAGGAGGCTGAAGTGCTCAAACAACTGAATTATTTCAATCAGACGCAATAGACTCAATAGACACCGAATCGGAAAAACCAACGTACAAATACTCACATACTCTTTACTGTTAGCTTTTTATTAACTGCGTTTATATGCAGCTTGAAGTCGGCTTAAAGGAGATTTCAACCACATATAAACGCTACTTGGCTGGAAATTCTCAAGTCAAGCCTGAATGGGTTTTAGTGACACCATCACGCCTGTGTAAATCTTATTCAAATAAACATAATGTGATAGTTGAGGTACTACCAACTACCAACGTGATGGCACTTGTCAAAATGATCGTTTATGCTATTTCTACAAGACTTTTCATAAATCACTTTATGTTGTCTCAATATTTGCATGCAATAGGCCATGTCCCCAAGTTCTTTTAGCTAAATGTATTAATAAGTTCGAAAATCCGTAGAGGTAATAGTTAAAAAAGTATTTCATCTTTTCAAAATTTTGCTATATCAGTTTTTATATCGATAATTGGAAGATTTGTATTTTACAAAACAAAAAAAATAAGAAAACAAAGAAATTTCAGTAGATGTTCAAATATAACATTAATGGAAGATAATCCCGAGATTTCAAAGGTTTTAAGCAATTATAATTTGCTTTCAAGTTCTTGAAGTAAAATTTTGAAACCTTTTAAAATTCGAAAATATTTTAGAAATATAAAATATTTCTAAAATATTCAATATGTAACTAATATTCAAAAACGAGATGAAAACCAAATTTGATTGATTTTTGTCCGTTAAGAATTGCATATATCATAAGAATAGAACCATAGAATAAGAACGGAATAAAACCATAAAAAATGGATCCAACCTCATCTTCCTTTTCTATACATATATAAGAAAACAAAAGAATAAATCCAAAGTACATAACAGCCATTTCAAAATAATAAGCTTTAAGGCAAGGTTTCATTAAAATTAGTTTTTAATAATAATTTTTAACAAAATGTTCAAGTATTTTTAGTTCAAATATGAATTTAGAGCGCTTAATTATTTGCATAGCATTTGTTTGAGAACAACGAACATGAACATATTTTGTTAAAAACTTTATCTAATTTGCAAAATATTAGTAATATTACATACACATATACATAATATTATTATTATTATTATCGTTTCTTTTGAAATTTTTATAATAAAAACAAAGTTTTGCTTATTTTAATTTTTTTATATATTTGAACAACCAATGTTTATAAATTAATAACTGAAAAGTTAAATAGGCATAAATAATATTTCTCAGGTAAATTAAATCTTTGTATGTTTTGTGATTTTTTGTTTTCTGATTTTGATTTGAAGTTATTCAATAAAAACATTCACAGGTTTTGAATAATACGTAATAATATTCAAAACATTCTAGTAAATCCCAGAATTAAAAAAAAATTGCTTTAAAAATTAAAATGTTAATACATCTACAACTATGCTTATATACTACAAAATTAACTATAAGAAATTGGCACAAATTTAAATAAAGAATTTAACCAAAGTATTACAAAAACTATTGCACCAATCCCCAAAATAAAGTAGAAGCGTATACGCCAATGATGTTTACTTAAATTCAAAATATTTAAAATATTTTTGGTCTCCAATTCAGTTGTAGAAATTAATCCTGAATTATCAATAACAAAATTTGATTTTTCACATTTTTGATCCAAAGACATTTGTGATGATATACGCTTTTTAGCATCCTCTTTTGATAAGTTATTTCGTTGCATAACACGCTTGATTTGAGTCTCTTCGTCACTAAAAATTAAAAAAAATTCAAGTAAAAAAAAGCATGGACCATATATAACACAATAAATACCATGTTACACAAATAATTTTATGAATAAAATCTAATAATATCCCAGTCTCAAAAAGTAATGGTAGATCCATTACGACATAATTAGTTCCTCGAACAAATTCATGAAAAACTTGGAGAAAAATAGTTCGATGTATTGTAGGATGGGTAATTTCATTTAATTTTCTTCTCAATTCTTTATCATTAAAGATTAATTTTCCCAAAATTTCGCGATTTATTTCTCCATTTTCTTGAATCACTTCATCCCCAAAAACCTTCTTTATTTGATGCCATGCTGGTTTTCCAGGTTCAACAACTAAAACGAGAAATATATATATATTTCCATGCTTTTGTTATATATGAAATATAAACTATTTGTACCAGATATAATAACTAGAATTTAGTAATACATAGAAACAAAAATTAGAAAGAAGAAATTATTATGTATGTACTTTGGAAGAATCTTAGCAAATAGTAAGTTAACAATGTTAAAAGCTCATCTTATACATAAATTTCATGATAACTAATATCATTATTATGCTTATTATGTATGTACATATGTTTATACTTATTCAAATACCTGTATATGTTTTGTTAATTTTTACATATACATAACACATAATTATAAAGGTCAATTCGCGACTCTTAATAATTTAATACATATATTTTTTCTGTAAATTATATTTGAAAGAGGGTCAAGGTTTTTTCTTTGTATAAAATTTCCGTTTTTGAACCAACTTTCGTATTAAAATTTTTGTAGTTTTATGACTGAGCAAAATTTTAAAAATATGTAAGGGCTTATCTACGCCTTTCATAAATGTAAACTTATGCTACTGCTAATATTAAAATTTTTTTTATCTTAAAACTTACTTTGGCGAGCAATCAAATCTGCATCAATAACTGGAACTTTGTTATCTTTAAACACTTTTGCTACTGTGCTTTTTCCGGTAGCAATTCCGCCAGTTATAGCAATCAAAAACATTTTCCAAGCAAAAAATTGCAAAAAGATAAAATAAATCTTTTCTTTGATTATAAATGTGCCTATTTGGTATGACTATTAGGGAAAAGGTAAACTTAATAAAATTTTTAACTCTATATTACAAATTTTAGAACCTTGAAAAATTATTAGCAAACTTCAATTAAATGTATAAAAATTTTCATTTAGATGTCAAAACAAATTAATACGTTCATTCAATATCTGCTTTTATAACCGAATACATCTTAAATTAAATAAACATTGCACAAAACGGAGATTGTCATACCGTTATTTTTAGATGTCAATTTTTCGTAAAACAAAATCCTTTCTTCTTCAAGAGACAAAAATTAAGAATTAGCCTTATTTAATTAAATTTAAGTTCTTGACAATCAGCTAGTTCCGTTTTTCAAAAAACGTAGAAATTTAGGACTGCATGTACACATAAGGTAGCCGAATTCAACACACCGCTTAGTCTGACGGTTATTGTCAAAAATTTGAGATAATTTTCCAAAAGAAGTTTATATTGTTTCATTGTCACCGTTAACATGTCAATAAAAGATTGACAATCATGATTGAGAATAATGAAAACTAACCATGTAAACATCATCAATCAATCATTTTCACCAAACTTTTGATGGACGAAAAGTAGAAATTGATTCTTTTTTATTATTGGTATGAAAAGAAAACTTCCTTTTATTCGGAATAAAATACTTTTTTATTTTTTGCTAATATATTTCTTCTCTGATGATTTTCTTCTCAAATAGAAGAAAATTTTACACAACATATTGTGTACATAGGAAATTGTTTATGGAATTGAAAAATGTATTCTTGTTGAAAACTTGAAATTTGGTTCCGTCACAATGATTATTTACGGCAAAAACAATGTAACTCAAAAAATAGATTTCTAAGTTATTTATACAGAAAGAACCTAAACCATTTCTTTTTTGTGCAAAAACACTAATTCTTCAATTTTTTTTCAAATGTGCAAATTTTGATTAATATGCTAGTGTTGCGAAAGTGGCATACATACTGAATTGTATGTCACTTTTCTTCTTTTTTGTATGGTGTACGATGGGCAAATTATCAGCCTAAACGTGTATCTCGCTTTTTTACTCACTTTTTATTCACTTTCAAATCAGAATTCTCCTTTTTTCCAACGCATATTTGATTTTCCCATTAAGATTACTCAATTTTTCAATTGAATTTTTGCATTTTTTCTCAAATTATCGAATGAATGTCTCACTTTCAAAAACGAAGTTAATAAATTTTGTATATATTTAAGAAAAATACGAAGTACCGAATAATTCTTATCTCGCGATTTAACTATTTCATTCGAGTAACTATCATATATTTGTATAAACCGACTGAAATTTGCTTTATATAAATAAATGATAGTTACTCACTTTCTCCTCACTTGCCGAGTAAAATACAATATAGAATAGACGATCAGGACCTTGAAAACAATTTTCTAACCTTTTGACGTCAAAAACATTCGAGTCTCGCTTCTGCTGTCACACTACATTTCACGAAACACATATTTTTATATAAGTCAAAAAATGCGACTTAACAAAAAAATGTGACGCGTCTAGTTGAATGAGCCTGAATAAAAGCAGATTTATGCAGATTAGTGCTAAGTCAATGTATTTCTCCAGCATGATAGATCAAGTGGTTGACGAGAAATCTATGTGAAGATTGATAAAGAAACTACTTTTTACAAATCAAAAACTGTAATAAAAGAAGTTCATTTTGGCAATGAAATACCAAAAAATAGTCGTGAAATTGCGAATAAATTCAACGAATATTTTATTTAAAGTGTCAATGAAGTAAATAGATCGATACCTATAAAACAATTTGAAAGTTTTAGTAGCGTTTGTAGCACAAAACTTAAATTTAAGCAGCTTAGACTTCATAATTTAAAATTAGATCCCAAAGCAATGAATAAAAGTAGATGTAGATGTATGTGATATTAGAATGATGGAACGCTGGTTACAAACTCAATACCAAAGTTAATATACCCTTCACATTATGCTAATGTCAAACTTGCAGTTTTTGCAGTTGTGTTTTTCTGTTGTCAAAGTTGTTTAAGCTCTAAGTTAGACACCGTTTACACACTAAACAAAGTTTGACGAGAAAATTTCACAACTATGATATCGTTTAGCACTATTTTAAATCTGGTGTCAAATTTAATTTTTTCTAATTATATTCTTAGTATATAGTAAAATGAGAGTAATTTATTTGAAAAGTAAGATATTTTTTTTTACTATTATTTATTTATTGCAACTAGTTTGCCCTTAGTTTAAAAATAGGAACAAAACTCGTTGGTCGTACTCCAAATCAAATCTACTTTAGTTTGATAAAATGTTGTATTACTGCGCCAAATCAAACAGTTTTTAACTTTTCAATCTCCTATTTTGTGATGTTCTTCTTTTATGCTTTGTTGCAAAAATCTTTATCTCCTCTGCTACTTGATTTACTTTAAGATCTGTATGAATGACATTATTTCTTACATACCAGGGTGCTACAGTGATATTTCTTAGTACTCTACTTTGTAGTACTTGTATTGGTTGGTAATTAGTTTTCTTTGTACAACCCCACATCTGGATACCATATGTCCAACCATATACCATATGGCTTTTATAATCTGGTTGCAAAATAGTAATTTGTTTTGAGTGCTAAATTTAGAGTACTTTCCAATTAGGCAGTCAAGTTTTCGAATTTTGATTTTCATTTCTTCCTTTTTCTTTTTAAAGTGTTCTCTCCATTTTAATTTCGTGTTCAATGTCATGCCCAAGTATTTCGCAGGATTAGCATACGGAATCAGTTTGGAGGTAATGTACATATATTCTTTTCGGTTCAATATTTCTGTTTGTGAAATTTATGTGTACCGACATTCCTTCATTCAACTTGACTATCCATTTTTTAGTCCATTGGGAGATTTTGTTGACTGTATCTTGGAGCCCCGAAGTAGCTTCATCAACTGCTTTTCCTGTAGTCAGGACCGCGGTGTCATCTGGAAACGTAACTATTGAGAAGCTTTCAGTTGCCGGGATATTCCTAGTGAAGAGAATATATAGAACTAGGACCTAGGACACTATCTTATGCGACTCCAGCCTGGATAGATTTCAAATTTGAAAATTCCCCATCATATTTAATATGAAAAGTTCTTTCCGTTAAATGTGATTCCAATATTTCACAAAAATCTCTGGGTAGACTTTTATTTAGTTTAAACATTAGCCCTTTATGCCAGACCCTATTAAAAGCCTGCACTACATGAAGAAAAACTGTGGCAACAGTTTTTTTGTTTTCTAAGGCGTTTTCAATCACATTTGAAATTTAATGAACTTGGTCAACAGTTGAGTGTTTCGATCTGAAACCAAATTGATGCTGTGGTATTAGTTGCCTTTCTTCTATTATCAGAACTAAGCTTAACAGAAATAGTTTTTCAAAAATTTTTGACTCAGTGGTGGCAGTGATATTTGTCTATATGAACCCTTATCATTGGTAGACTATTTTGGCTTTAACATCATAACTACCTCAGCGACTTTCCATTGCCTCGCAATATTGCATTTATTGTGTACAAAAACTTTCTTAAAGCCTTTTCGGGCAATTCCTTTAAAATTCCACCTGTTATTAGGTCATATCCCGGTAACTTGTACCTTGTATTTTATATTTTTTAATTCTTTGAGTGTCAACTTTGGAACTTTAAGCAAATCGATATTTGTTAGGACGGGTATGCATTTCCCCGACGTCAGTCTTGTGGTAAAAGTTTTGAAAGGGCTAAAAGTTTTTTCTAAGCGATCTGCAAAAATTTCCGCTTTTTTTTTGTGATCCAAGTGTCGCTTTTCTTGATTGGTGGCTTTTGGATTATTGGTTTCTCTATTTTGCCACCTTCCACAGGGAATAATCATTTTCCTTGTCAACAGATAGCCAGGTTAGAAAATGTTGCATGATTTTGTTTTTTTTCTCCTGTAATGCTTTTTTTAAATCATTGCTAATTTTATTAAGTCTGGTCTTGTCGGATGGTGCTCTGGTTGTTTGTCATCTCTTGTAAGCCTTTCGTTTTTCTGCAAGTAAGAGCCGGATTCCTTGAGGGTAAGTGTTGCTATGTTTACTCTTGCGGTTTTCGAACATCATAGGAGTACTACTCCAAGCTGCTTCTTGAATTTTTTTGACTAGGTCATCATGTTGTTCCTCAATTTCGATTCTTGTTGTCAACGAAACTCTTCTTCAACTCCTTCTTCTGGGTGATTTCTAAACTCATTCCAATTTGTTTTGTGATTTGTTAGGGCTAATGGACCGCCTCTAATAATTATGGATTATGGATATGTTGGTTTTCCTGTAGAGACAAATATGCAATTAGGATCTCTTCCTGCTTTATACAAAGCTCTACCTTTTGGAGATATTAATCTTGACCCCCAGTTAACGTGCTTCGCATTAAATTCTCCTCTCATGATAAAGCAGTGACCAAGGCTATATATGAGACGATTGTAATGCTCTTTTTTAAGATTGTGTTTGGGTGGACTGTAATATGCCAATATATTGAAGTTTTTGCTTTTAAGCAAAAGGACTTTTATGGTAGTCTCTTGCACAATTTCTAACTCAATTTTGTCTTCTTATGGTATATGACTCTCGGTCAATATTGCAGAGCCATCTTCAGATTTACCATTAGGATGGCATGCATGGTAGAAAGAGTAGCCCCTTATGCTAATAAATGAATTTCTAGGTAAGTGTGTTTCAGATATTAAACAGATGTCAATATCGTGGTCTGTCATTTTTTCGTTTCAGAATGCCATTTGCATTCCATTTTAAAATTCTTAATTCTGGCATCTTATTTTATCACGTATTTGGTTAATACTGTCCTCTAGCTTATTTTTTCAAACAAACTTTTCTGTGCCTCCTTATGCTCATTTAACCTTTTCAAAAAAAGTTCAAAAAGAGATTTCTTACTTGTATTTTCCTTTTCAAGTCGTTTAAGGTTTTCTCTCACAACCTGGGCGTAAGGGGTTCCAGATGGTTATTTGGTTTTAACTAAATTATTCGTCGGACCAATCGGGGTTTCATTAACTAAGTCCTGCCGAATTTTCGTTGATCTTTTAACTTACTGCTTTGCTTTAATGGATCTTTTCTTTGCGCATCTAACACATTAAAGCTTTGACACCGTTTGAACTGAGGTATGTATGTTGCGTTCTTCTTTAGAGGTTCTATTTCAACAACCATGTTTAAAATAGTTCTAATACCGTAGATCTTCGCAATATTTTCTTTGTTGTGAAAAGTCAGTCTGAATAGAAGAAGTTTCTTTATTGTTCTACATTCTTCTGCCTTATCGTTCACAACCTTCATTTTTCTAAGGATATTAACCGCATTCGTTATATTAAACCCTTGGTGCTTAACATGAGATATGATGTCCAGTACTTCACAGGATCCATGCATACCCCTAGCTATGACGTTAATTGGTCGATCATTTCTATTTTCACAGGTGTACCATTGTACTTTTTCAGTTTCTAGTCCTGGAAGCTATACATGAAAAATTAATAAAAAATATATACATATATGTACATATGTATGCATAATTTTCATAATTTTTTGATTTCATATTCCACTAGCACTCTTTTTTTTCAAAAGATTTAATAATTTCAATCAAATTATGGCATACTAATATTTTTTCGAGCTATTTTTCAACTATTTTAAACTATTTACGTAAAAAAAAACTTTAAAAGCGCGAACTTCACAACAAACAACTGATCACTGCGTTTTTAATGAGTAAAACCTATCCAAGGCGTTTTATTTTTTTATTTCTGCCAAAAACACCCCGTTGTTTCAAAATTTTTTTTTGGTGATTGTTTAGCAAAAAAATGTGTTCTTCTAAGTTATATTTTGTTATTCAAGCATTTTGAAATATGTTAATTAGTCTAAATAGGCAATTTAAGATTTCCATAATAATAAATTTGGAAATTAACGTAAAAGTTGCCAAATCAAATATATATGAAGTTACCAATTTTGTAGAAATTTATTATATAGGCGTATATAATGTCCTTTTTTTGCCTTTAATTCTCAGTAGCTAAACCGGTATTAAACTATATTCAATGGTTTCAACACAGTGAATGTACAATTATTTTAAATGCAGCTTTTCTCAAAAATCGAATCAAATTCAATTTTACCGAGTGGTAAGTTTCGAAATTGGTAAATGTCACACAAACTTACTTTTATTAAAATCAATATCAATATTAATACTTAAATTTACTTTCAATTATAAATGTTTAAACAATATAAATTTGCTTTTAAAAACTGCTATTAAATTTTAAAACGAAATTCATTTTGCAAATATGTATGTATATATGTACTTCCTATTTGACTTAATTCTTTTAATTATATTGTACATCATAGATTAGTTTTCTATTTTCCCATTCTTTGAATTGACCATTCTTGTTGACATAATGGACATCTATTATTTTGTTTGACCCAAAGTGACATACAGCAATGATGAAAAGAGTGATTACATTCTCCCCAAACTACCACACAATCCTGCTTTCCCAAAACTTCACGTTTATTTTCTGCTTGACATCTTAAACATGCGTCCATAACTTGCACTCTACAAATAGCACATATATCACATTCAACATCCCAACTCCACATTGCTACAGCGTTCCATTTTTTTAATGTGAACATTTTTTCATATTTTTCCGAAGAACTTTCGTTTTCATCAGCCATTGTGTAAGCTTAAAGAAAAATTTGTTACAAATGAAAACATGTATTTACATATACGGATATATAATTTGCATATATCCGCATATTATATGCATGTACAAGCAGTATATACGTATACTGTTTGTACATATAAATATATCAAAAATCAAAATTTGGATTTTATTTAAAACGAAAATTGTATTTACCCTGTTATGCTATAGTAACTTATTATAACAATTTCATTTATTAGATCTGCCAAATTAAATTTGCATTAAAATCAATTAATTAATGTTGAATGCTATGTACAACAAACCAGTCAAAATTAAGTAAATAATGTTTGACAAAATAAGTAATACACACCAAAAACCAGCTGTCTACAGGGTGAATTCAATTTTTAAAATTAAATTAATAGACAATTAGTTAAATAGACTGGAGCAGCCTCGAATAAGAAATAATAGCGGAAGAGCATGTTTATTTCTATCAAATAAACAAAAAATTCCCAAAAAACTCCTGTTTTATTAAAAATACAGTTAACCCAAAATTTCAGTACTCTTTTTTGTCGCATCAAATTGAAGTTGACATTTCAAACGCAAATAATTTATTTTTTAGAAAAGTCAGTTTTAAATAAAATCACAGAACAAAGTTTTGTGATTTTATTTAAAAGATTAATGTGTTTTGGGCTGAACAATATTTTGTAGAAAAACCGCTTATATATTAGGTTTGTCTGGTATAAAACTTGAAAAAAATTTGAAAGGAGAAACAATGACGTATTTTCTCATAAAAAATAAACCCGACGGAAAGGTTGAAAAAAGTTTTAAAAATTTTAATTATAAATAGATGGTAAACGTCAAATTTCAAAATATTTATCAAGCATAAACAAAAATTTTTTGGTTAAACAAAAAACGGAAAGTTTTGGCAGCTTTAACATATGTTAATAGAGAAAAAGTTAATGAGTTTTATTTTTAAAATTTGAATTTTTTTACAGATTTTTTAAATAAATATTTTAAAATACCTTTAATATACTATCTAGTATCATCGACTAGTTTAAAATACATAAATAGCTAGATGTGTGTATTCTACTTACCTAATTATATTATCTATGGGCTTTTATATACACATGAAATCTCTGCCTAGATAATTTTTTTCTTACGCTAAGTACTTAGGTACATACGTCACGGTACATAAACAATACAAGAGAACAAAATGAGTTGCGAAATTAATCAATTTATAGAGTGACGTCATTAGACACGATTGTATTCGTAAATTCATTTATTTTGTAATGTTTAGACAAAGAACGAAAAATTAAAAATAAAAAAGGCATAAAATTATCAAAAGTTATTGAGCGACATTTTTTATATAAAATGTTAAAAATGGGAAAGTGTAAAGTAAAAGCCTGTAAGAATTATGAGAGTAGAAAGACAGAAAAACCAATTAGGTACTTAAGTTTTTTAAAGATGAAATATTGGTGCTGTAAATAAACAATGTTAAATGAATACTATGCAAATTTTTTAGACCATTTTGTAGGATCTGTTGAATTTAGAAATTTTTGTAGATATAAAAACATTTAAAGAAGGAAGTTTTTAAATATATTAATTACCAAAATAATAAGAATATTCCTAAAAATAATAAATGGATAATAAAACAAATAGAAAAGGAGGAACGGCAAAATTCAATAAAAAGCTTTGGAAAAAATGTTTAAAACTAATTTATATACCTATTCCATGATCCGTCGTAATGCTTTTTTTCGGGAATAATATAAAAATGGTATTTCAAGATCTGAAAATTTTCCAAATTAAATGTTAGAAGTTATGAATAAATTATGACTCTGAATTTTCGTAATTTTACTATTCTAGGATTTCTTCTTAACAAATGTTAATAGGGAAATTTTATGAATAATCACATTCTTCGTAAATAATTCGTAGCTTTTTACAGTTATATTATCGGTAGCCATTTCCAGTTAAGTTTCAAAATAAATAATACAAAGAAGTCAAAAATTTATTAATATGTAAGTGTAGTTTCTGTAATTTATAATAAAATCTGTTTTTTTTTTTTCGCAAGGTTGTTTATTAATTTTGTATGCACAGGACTAAAATTACAATCAATTAATCACAATATAAACGACTTATTGAACTACTGACTGTACGAGATGACACTCAAGTAAAAAATCTCAACACACGTAATAAACGGTGAATTGGTATTAATGATTTCAATCAAGTTACTGAATACAACATAACTTCATTTAAAATATTTTAAAAAGCTTGTTCGTTTAGTTTAAAGTTTTTTTAAACCTGAAATTAAATTTTTTGTATAACGTATAATTATTTTTTTACGCAATATAAATATTACGATATATTTATAAGCATATAAATACATTCATAATCTACAAAATATCATCTATGTCGAAAGGATTAAAAGCATTCCTCAAAATATTTCTATTAATATTTAGAAAATGATAAGTCTGTCTGAGACAAAACTTGACGAAATGAGAAACAAAGGCGAAATTTCTCGGAAAAAAAAAAAAAAATTTCCATCTAAAAAAAACAATAAACCAGACGAAAAAGTTGAAAAAACTTTTAAAAACTTTATAAATACATAGGCGAAAAGCGTCAACTTTCAAAGTATTTATCAAACATAAATAAATATATTTTGGTTACACCAAAAACCGAAAATTTTGATTTTGGATTATAAAAGTGTGAAACTTGGAAAAACCATTTGTGAATCTTTTTGTTTACTTTGTTTCTGAAAAGTTTTGAAATAAAAATTAAAATTATTGTTGATGAAAAAATTGCTTTTCAAAAAAAAGCCTTCGGACATAACTAAGAAAAACACATATTTTTTCATTTACAATTAACACCACTATTAGCGTATTAAATTCGAATAATTTTTGTTTTCGTTGTGTCAAATAAATTTTTTTGGTTTCCTTTTTCACCAGTAAACAAGTTTTCATTTGATTTTGACACTCCGGAATATTAAATATTTTATTTGTATCTTGGAATAGCATTTTCTTTAGGGTCGTATCGTAGTTCGTAGCAATATCATAATGGATCTTGGAATGGACAGATAAACTAGCAATATTTTCTAAAATTTCTCGTTTTTGACATTTCTGACCGTTTTTTGAAAGTAAACATTTAAACATTTGAACTATTTTAAAATAAAATACTCATACATTTAACACTTCTTACCACTTCTATAGTCTATAGAAATAAAGTTTAGATTGTAGATTGCAAAACTTTGAAATACAAATTTTAATAATTAATTTAATAAAGCAAAATAAACGTAAAACATTGCGCAAATTTGCGATATTCAATTTACATAGTATCAAAAATTTAACATTACATAAGCTATATCCTTTTATTTAACTGAAGCAATATCGTACAGGCTATTGCAGGAAACGGAGAATTGAAAAAAATGGATAGCTAATTTTCCGATGAAACTAATATGCAGCTAATTAAATTTATTCAAAAACTCGAACAAATATATAATAAGTTGTGCGACTTATTTTTCTATGAAATAAAGATAAAACTGAATGCAAAAAGAAATGCTAAGTTATGAAACCGAATACTAGGCAAAAAAGTGGAAGACAATATTAATTTAAAAAATTAATTAAAAGATTAACATAAAAATACGATACTTGTAGTTTTTTTTTCAATATGTAATAGCACTACTTTCATGTAATTTTTCAGTTTCGTGTTTAATGACGTTCCAAACAACTGTCAATAATTTTCTACTCTGAGTTGTTTTTGTTTGACATGGTACATATGTCATAATTGAACAAAATTTGCTTATTGTGCCAAAAAGTTTAAGAATAAAATCATTTGGTTTTATACCTACAGAAAAATTAAAACGAAAAGATATCAAAAAAAGGATGGGTTCGTGTTGTCGATTTTGTGGATTGAAAATTAGAGGGAAAGAAGCAATAAATTTGTTTAACAATAAAGTATTTGTAGAAAATTTTCATACTCTAGGTGAAATTGTAAATCTTGTGTTTAAGGGATTTCAGGTATGAATTCATCGAAATCAAATTTTTTATAATACATATGTACATTCATTTTATTTCGTTTATTCATTGAAAATAAAAAGTAAATAATCTTTTCGTAGACACATGAATATGATGAGCTCCCCAAGGAAGTATGTTCCAATTGCGCCAATAATATAATATTAAGTTTTCGTTTCTATACTATGGCCAATAGTACCAAAAATAAACTGATGGCAATATTAAAGCAAAAGAAGAACTCTGAAGGAAAATATAAACCCCTACTACCTAAGCCAATTGAAGTGCCAATTGTATCATTGAATAAACCAGAATTATCAGCAAATAAAGTAGATTTTAAACTGAAAGAGAAAAGAATGTATTCTTGTTATGAATGTCTTGAGAAATATCTCACACTCCGACAGTTAAAGAAGCACCAAGAAGAAGTTCATACAACGAAAAATTTGTGCAATTTATGTAATGTGTGGTTTGAACAGGAAGAAATATTACAGAGGCATCTAGAGGGACATAAACTTTCTAAATATATTTGCTTTAAGTGTAAGACAGAAAATTTTTTTTCACAACGGCGTTTATTTACACATTGCAAGCAGAAGCACTTTGCCGAGCTTGGTTTATTTAAATGTGAAACTTGTCAAAAAGAATTAATTGGGCGGCAAAATCTCGTTGAACATATTAATAAAAAGCATCAGGACAACAATGAAAGTATTGATTTTTTAGACAAACAAAATATTAAAAAATTAGAAACGCGAAATAACAAAAAAAATGGAGAAAATTCTATATCTGAGCAATATAAAATGTGTTGTAACATAGGCAAAAGTGATACAGGAATAGATTCTAGCAAACTAGAAGAAGCTATGGATGTAGAATTCCTCGATGAATTTTTTCTTAATCAGCATACGGAAAATTCATTTGAGTTCAATGAGTGCTGGGATGCATTAGATTTAAGTTTTGAGGATGACATCAAAATTAAAATGTCTGATTTAGCATGTGAAATTCTTCCAAAATTTCCAAATGAGGAAATGACAGGAAAAATATATCAATACCAATGCCCACATTGTAAAAAAGGATATGTTCGTCAAATTGAAATTTTAATTCATCTAGCTCATGATCATAAAATACAAGTTTTGTCTTGTAATATTTGTTTACAAAATTTTTCAAGTATTGAAGAATTGAAAATGCATAAAATACAACATTTAGGAAAAAATGTCATTAATCGAATAGAAGAAAAACAACTAGAAATGTTGAAAACTATTGATGGAATATTTTATGTGTGCAAATATTGTCGAAAAAAATACAAAGAAAAAAGCAATTTTGTATTACATGATTGTAAAAAAGCAGATTCCATGCTAGACTGTAAGGAACTTCCAAAATTTTTATGCAATATTTGCGAAAAAGAATTTTCAAGTTTAAAAGACATGTATGTACATAAAAAACTTGTGCATCAAAATGAAAGCTTGAACTGTTTGTTATGCAATAAAGCATTTAAAACGGTTATCGGGCTTCAATATCATATGAAAACTCACGAAGGAACGAAAAGAATAAAATGTCCTTTTTGTGTTAGAAAGTTTTTGACGAAAATAAATCTAAATGCTCATATGAAAGCGATTCATTCGATAGTAAAAAATCATTTATGTACCCTGTGTGATAGGAATTTCGCTACTCTCGATCATTTGAAGAAACATGTAATGAGCGTTCATCAAAAGGAAAGGCCGCATTTGTGTACAGTTTGCGGCAAACAGTTTTCGCAAATATCACACCTAAAATCTCATTTTAAAATTCATACATAAATTGAGTTTATGTATGAACGATACATATCATTCATACATAATTTACTAAATGATTTAAATATATGCATAACTCTTTGTTAATAGAAATGAAGGTCAACAAGCCGATCTGGTTTAAGTGGAAATATGTATTTATCCGTTGAGGATAACGAAAAACAATAAAATTAATATTGATCAAAGATTTTTCAATCTAAGTGTTCAATGTGCGCAGCCAATTTTTAAATTTTATGCGATACATCGCGTCCGCAATATCGCCTGCTATTGTATTGGTATCATCTATATGAAATATTGGTGGCACAATTCCAAATTATATCATAAGGAAAATTCAACTAATATCAAATTTGGTCTATTAAAACTATTTTATGGCCTGCAAAAAAACGCGATCCAAGAAAAAATTTGTATCACTTTATTATCTCTTAAAAAATCCAAAGAAAATTCAACCAAAGTTGTTATTGCTTTTTTATCTCTTGAAAGATATTTCGAATTGACGCCTGCTAATTGTCGAAAGTGCGATATGGATGTGTATCTTGCTTTTTTGCTAGGCGATATGAAAATGATATTACATATAAATTTATTAAATATTAAAGGATATTTTTTTTCAAAAGGTAAGGGAAAGTGTAATTAAAATTATAATATTTATCACAAATTAAAAAAAATTGGTTGCTATGTAAATAGCGGTATGATATATTTATATTTTCATATACATATATGTATATATATATAGATATATTTTCATCTTTAAAAAGATACAAATGCAAATATACAGCTTGCCATATTTTTTTTATTAATTGTTAAATATCCTATGTGTGAAATAGAAAAAAATTATCGCTATCTAGAATTGCACATAAGAAATTTTTCACTTGTTTCGTGTCCCAACGAGACATACATGACTGGACATATTACTAATTTAATCAAAATTTCCTAGGTGCTTGAAATATGCCAAAATTTTCCCCAACTGGAAAGGAAAGCCATAAGGACCTAATCATACAGCAATATTTTTTGTATGCAGGACGCCGGATCACTAAAAGAAAAATCAAATAAACACATAATAAAGAAAATGTTTAAATTTTATAGTATTTTTTGTGTAATAGGTTTAGTTTTTATAAATCTTTTAATATATAGCCGCAAAGAAGGAGGGAATTTTAAAATTTAAACGGTTAAGTACATAACTGCTTGATGTGTTCAAATAATGTCAATGTGTTTTGCACATTATTGGCGATAATACATATTATTTGCTTACATTAAGTAATGATTTATTTCTATTTGATTTCATGATTTGGACAATTAACTTGTACAAAGAAATATCCCCTATAAGAAATTTAGGCGGCTCCAATTCGTCTCTTTGGTGGTAAGAAAACGGTGTCGTGTATATGTATGTATGTATATTCAAGAAGTGAAAAAGAAGAATCGAATTTCTCTCCTTTAAGCGATATAGAACTGAAATCCCTTTGTAACTTCTTCGCAATAAATAAACGATTTCACAGATTTTGAATTCAGTTATTCAGCTTCGTTATATTCGTCTTCTGAGAGAAGTGGTTGCGTGGACCATTTGCGACATACGATCTAATTGTCTTCAATGAAAAGGCCAAATCATGGAGCATAATGATATCTTCCAAGTCGAATCCAATTCGTATTTAGAAAAAAAATTTCTTGCTGGGAATAAGTACATAATTATAGGTTCAATTGCCAACCAATGTACAAATGTATCTCTTGTTCTAGTAATGTAATATTCAAGATTTATATACATACAGACATATGTACATAGATTATAAGTCGAGTACATTAGTGATATGTATAATATTAGAATTTCTGAAAATAAGTTTGTGAAAATTTTTTAAGTACTACAAACGACTCTTATTATTATTGAAATTAAAAATTTGGAAAACGTGGGGCTGTGTAAGGACGAATTTTGAACATGCTGCAAGAAGCATTTGATCAATATTTGTTAATTTATAAACTGTAAATATAATTTACCCCATCGGTCAAAGGCATATCATATCAATGAAATAGCGGACATGAAAAGCTTTAAAAAATTTTTCGAAAAAAAATTCTTAGTAAAATTTTATGTTTAGTGCAAACTTAGATTTAGCTGTAACTAAAAAACCTTTTTTTTAATTCTTTGTAAAGTCTTGAATTTTTATTGAAATCTAGAAAGATCTAGTTAGCATGTTTTTCATAAAAACAGTAAAATTTCATAAAAATTTGCTAACATACATTTTTCTTCTAATTTTATGCAAGACTATAATATGTATGCATGCATGTACATCGTCTCCTTTGTGGCATCTTAACATAACAAAAATTGTCAAAAATATCTAAGTTCACAAATTATAAAATTTTACGGGAAAGTGAAAATTTACTGCCAGTCTATTAATGTAGTGCGTCTATTGTTCTTATGTAAAAATTTTTGAAATGGTCACAAATAAAATCATAAAGATAAAAGCTAAATGAAAATAATATACTAAAAGTTGTCCGGAATTCCCATCTGGTGTTTACTCGAAAATATTTTGAAAAAATATACATATGTATGTACTTAAACTCTTGTGGAGGGCGTGACAAAATTGTCAAAAATGTTTTTTGGATAGTTATTAATACATGTTAAAATTTATTATTGAAATTAATTTTTAACAGAATTATAATTGAATCCTTAAAAGAAGTTAAAATCGTATGTAAAAAAAACTTAAACGTGCATTATTCCCAAAAAGAGATTATATTTGTTATAATGTTTATATTTTGATAATTACCGTTAAACTTAGTTTAATTAATTACACATATTAAGTTTTAAAGATTACAGTGTTACAGTGTTACAAAAACAACTTTAATGAATACACACATTTTATTCACACGAGTTATTAAAAATATTTAAGTAAAACAAATATTCGAAGTATACATATTAACCTAAGCATCACAAACAAACTTAAAGCCGAAATTTTAAATTACTGTTGTTTACACTATTTTAGATAGTTATGAACTGCAACGCTATAACTAACTTTAATAGTTGTAAGTCCGTAATGTCAAAAATTATTTGCATCGAGTCGACGCAAAAATTATTGGAGAAAACAAACGGCTTTGTCAATAATTATTATTTATTTTGCAAATTAAACAAATCGAAAAATATTCAGTTGCAGTCACGAAAAATATTTTTATATAGAACGTACATATAAATAATGTACTAACTTTCAAGATATTCGAAAATCTTTAATAAAACAAAGAAACTAAGAAAGACTCTCAAATGATTTAAATCTTACACCCAATTATTTATTGACAAGCCGCCATTTTTTATATTTTGTTGACGAGTGGACGACTCTTTTCATCACTCAGCTGCCATTTTTGACAAAATAGTCGCAGCACAATTTTTTTCTTAAACTTTGGCGTCACTTATATTTTTATTCAAGATTTTTAAGCTGAAAATTTTCAGATAATCGAAAATAAAAAGAATTAAAAAGAAATGGAAAAATCCATGAAGAAAAAGAAAGTTGACATGAATATTGGTAAGAAACCTCAAATTATAAAATTTCCTATAGTTTTTTATTTGACTAAATCCATTTTTATTTTAGTATATGAGGAGGAGCCAGATTGGGATTCACTTAACGTAAATTTATTTGAATGTAATGTTTATCGTATTCATAAAAATATTTTAGGTTTATCCTATGAGTCAAGCTGCTAGTAAGAAATATGCCAGTAATGTTTGGGATTATTTCGGGCACTTGATGAGAGGAACATCATGTATTGATAACAAAAATTTTTACTGTTTACCTTGTTTTCGTACACAAAAATTAAAACAGTATTCCGCCTCAACAGCCACTAGTAATTTTTATACTCATTTAAAAGCATATCATAGTATTATGCCTGAAAGGGGTGTAACACACAAAAGAAAGTCAAATACGATTAAAAGCGAACCTCAACAACAAAATGAAGAAAGGCAACCTCAATATGATATTGGTCAATTTACAGAAGTTTTGGATAATGACGCGTTGAATGAACTGATAGTTGTTGGTCGTACTAATCAGGTTAAAGAAGATCAACACTTATCAGTTGAAACTACAGAAAATATAGTAATGGAACCATTTCCAAAGAGAAAATTCGCTCCACAAAGACGTTCGACAATTCGTGACAGAAAACTTCCTATTGCTTATATTAATCAATCATATACTCCAAAAACTTCAATGAAAATTATTGAAAATGAAAGAAATGAGGACTACGATCGACTTTTCATATTATCTCTTGTAAAGGAGTTTCGTAAGGTGCCTGAGGAATATAGATTAGATGCTAAATACGATTTATTGGGAGTTTTAAGAAAGTATCAGCAAATAGCTCAATCGCAATCGCTTCAACAAATTGCAGAAGTTCATGAGGAGCAAGATGAGTCTCGCCAAGAAGAATTGGTAACATCGGAAAAATTTGACCATGTTGAGCAATACTCATAGTTAATAGAAAATAGTAAAAATATATTGTTATTTTGGAATGTATAATATGCATGAACCTATTTTCCTTTATGCATGCAAATTACATATATTTAATAAGATTTTGTAAGGGCTAAGTCTTGAATCTGTGAATAATTTAAGTATTAAAAACGTGTAAATAAATTTTATTCAAAAGCACAATGAAAGATGTACACCTGTTATTGAAATTATAATTGAAACTGATACTTTTAAGGTATTGCATTACTAAGTCATTTCCAATTTATTACTTATACATTCAATATGTGTTCAATATGTGTAGTATTGGTACTATTAAATTAAATATTAAAATTGTCATGTTAAGAGCTTCATATATGAATAGATCGTGAAACTTGATTTTCTATTATTAATTCTCAAGCTCAGTATCTATGCAGGCGTTGATTTCCTTCAATGCTTTGTCAGTATAATCACAGCTTGAAACAAATTCCTGAGCAATATAGCTATTCAACAAGTTGATTTTTTGTAGATTTGATTTATATTCGGTACACATCAATCTAATTTCTTTCTGAAGATACGGACTTAGCTTAATATCCAAAATATTTTGGAGTATGAGCAATTTTTTCTTTCTTATATCCATTAAATTTAACACTGAACTATGTCGTTTTTCTTCTAAGGCAAGGATCTCCATTTGTTTTTCTTTTAAATTGAATACATCCGGATATTTTTGTTTTGTAAAACTTATATATTCCAAAAGGGGTTGTATTTGTTCTTTCATTTTCTGCACAACAAAATTTTTAATAATTTTTTTCTCAGAATAAGGCAATGTAATATTCATAGTATCTAATCCAAGTAGTGGCATATCACTCTCCAATTTAACATAGTCTTTGATATTTAATATTTTAAGAGACTTGCTTAAGATCGGAGAAAAACCTTCAAATTGTTTGTTTGCACCTGATTTTAATATATCAATTAGAATCTTATTGGTTTGATATCTGTGAAGCTCTTTATCACGTATAATTTTTAGTTCTTCTGTGTTTCCAGAACTCAATAAATCTTTTAAATTAGCTGCATCTGCCATAGTATTTTTTGAAATCTTTTAGTTAAATTTTTTTAAAATTTGAGTTTGAAAGTTTTAAATTTGCTGTTAAACTGCTTTACCAACTTTAATTAATGACAACAAATTAGTTTGACACTGACTCTTTAAGCAAAAGTCAATCGATTATCAATGATGGGAAGTTTGAAAAATACAGCTGGTCGCAACAAAAACATTTTATGAGTTAATTGTGTAATTCAGCCGATTATAAGTTATAAAGCGGAGTAAATAACAAATTTGTTTATCTATACGGAGGATTTGTTGATTCTGCTTTCCAAATGAATGAAAATTTGATTGTTAATAAATACTTCTTAAAATTATAAAGATAATCAAGATTCAAAGACGCATTTCAAAACTTGACCACTGCAAAAATCAAGATTCAAACGGCGTTTTTTCAATTTTTTTTTTACATCAAAGCAAATTCAGTACTATCAAAATATAGATGCTTGTTTGTTTTGTATATCACAGTGTTCAGAGTTGAAAGTTCGTTTTCATTTTTAACATCTTAGCATAGCTCGGATCACGCTTTACTTGCTCGAAAACAGGTTTAAATTTCACAGAGATAATATTTAAAAATTATTAAGTGACATTTTGGTTATTTTACTGCCGACGGTTAAATTTGCAGCAATATTTTCACCTGGTTCTAGGCGAAAATTTCATATAATTTTAAATATTTATTTTATATGTATATACTTACTTTAATATTTTCTTTATATGTATTCTATATATTAAAAAGGACGTCAGTCAGATACAATTGCAAGGAAATGCTGCAGCTACTGTAAAAGTTTATTTAAAGAACAAGTAAAAAGAATACAAATGTGATGCAAAAAGCATTGCACAAATATGTTCATTTACTTATTTTAATACTCAATAACTTGGATGCTTGACTCTAAAGTCAAGTAGAAGATTTCGATGCTCCCAAGTGGAGTGTGAAAAAAAATATATACTTTACACAACATTTACAGTTGTTTTCCCGGTAGCCTTAGTTCACTATTTTTTTGAATAAAATAAAACGGCTTGTTTAGCAATTAGGTGGCTCTAGATAACGGCTTCGTACTTTGTGACACCGTAGCATAGAATGAAACAAGAAATAAAGATAAAAATTAAAAATTTTTAAAAGCTTATATCTCTTAAACCAATTACGTTATCAATGTCAACAAATGGTCAATTTAAATATTGAAATGTCATTTAGAACATAAAAACATCTTTTGGACGGTTTTTTTTTAGATATAATGGTTTGTTGAAAAAATGAATATTTAATTAGTGGAATAAGGATTTTTATTCAAAAATTACCGTCAATAGTAATTTATTTTTTTATTCATTAGAATAGGTTTTCATTAGCTCAGAAATTAACTATTCACATCTTTTATTAAAATAAAATTCATACCAACGGTAAAAATCATGCCCTTAATGCTTCAAATGAAGCAAGAGCTTTTGAAATCGAGAAAAATTGAATTATTTTTGATTGATATTTGGAAAAAATTGGTTATTTTTAGTCTATTTAAAATTCTCATCACTAAAAATACTGGAACAAAGCTATGTATAAATCAATTTGCTTGTCCAATTTCAAAACCCAAATTCACTTACACTTTAAGAAAAAAAGAAGTATGCAATATTTCTAAAGCAAGAAAAATAAAATATGTAAATAAACTAAATGTAAGAAAAAAAAAATTTAACTAAACTTATATGATATGTTAATAATTGTGAAGGTGCTATTACGTAACTACAAATTAAAATATACATGTTCATTTCATCAAATTTTATGGAAAGCTATAAGTATAGATAAAATTTTAAATAAATTGTATTACATACGTTCTATAAATATTCTTAGTTTTATTTGCAATCAATTAGTTAATATTTCCTTAAAGAACTTAGCTATGTATAGTTTGTCATAGTGTTCTTTTATATTTCTTTGAATAATTTACATTAGTACACATATATGTGACTTGACTTTAATAGTTTTCAATTACACTTAATAGACATAGTTGGGAAGATAATTGTTGGAAAAACTTCCTGATACATGGTATTAGGTCAGCTGGCAAATAATGACTAAAAGCATAAAGCAGACATGAAAATAATGATCTCATTACAAAACAGAACGTGGATAAAATTTGGTTGACTGCAGTTGGAGCAAATGCGTATATTGAATAACAATCGCAACCCTTGTCGCAACTGCAACTTACTGGAGGTTGCGGTCTGGAACCTTCGTCATCTTGAGCATAAGTCACCTTTAGTAATAAAAACAAAAAAAAATTCACATAAGTACATACTTTTGTATTTTAAGTAAAAAAAAACTTAACTTACCAATATAAAAATGCCAAAAACTAAAGCAAAAATAGCCAAATTTGATGTTTTTATTAGCATTTTTTAAGAATTTTTTAATTTTATTCGATGTATGTGGTGATAATAATTAAAGTTAACTGACGAATTTTAATTGAAATTTTATATTTATTAAAGACATTTAAAAGCTTTTTTTAAAAGAATTTTTTTGTTGACGAGTACATAGAAAGAACCTTTTTATTTAGATTTATAAAATATTTTTTAGTCTTACACAAAAAGAAATTATTTTACAGAGAAAACTACACACACTTAATTTTTTTATGTCTGTTCTTTATTTAAATTAAATTTTCAATTTTAGTTTCTCGATTGTTGTGCTAAAAAATATCGTTACCTTAATTACTACTTAATAATTATATTAAAAAGTTCGATATTATTTTCGCAAATACAAATCAATTTATGAAAATAGTTCGTGTTTATAATAAAAGTTTTTGAAAGTTTTACGATAAATATCACTATAACTTAGTAATTCGATACTCAGAATAAGCCCCATTACTTTAGCAGCGAAATTTTAAAATCTACTATTAATCTATGACTGATTTCAAGATGCAAAAATTATTTGTTCAAGATATGCCGATTTGTCAAAAAATTTAAATAAGATCAGTCTAAGACAAAATTCTCCTGTAAATTTTTTACATGGTTTATTTTTCTCTTGTTATATATAAAATATAAAATAAAAAAATATTAATAAAAATTTATAGAAACTTTTTGTTTAGTTTAAAAAGTAGATTTTTATCTATTAAGTAGTTAGTGGCTTCATGTAGCCGATTTTGGTCGAAAACTTGAATTCGAACTCCGAAAAATTTAATTTCTTTGACATGAATTTTTAAATATTTTTGCGCACATCGAATTGTTCTTTATTAACGTTTTTTTATTTATCAAGTCTGTTTTAAAAAAAAATACTTCATAATATTAAACATCCATGTATTTATTAAAATAAGAATGTATAATAGTATTTCACTAATTGCTGTATAACAGTATATCCTATAAATAATAAAAATTGGATTACAGGATAAAAACAAAACCTATCCCTTAAAAGAGTTTTGAATCGGTTATACTAAAAAATTATTATCATTTTGAAAAATTTATCATTCAATCAAAATGTTTATCGGAAAAATTGTGATATTTTGTATTTTAATTATTTTCACAATTGAAGTAATAAATATTTTAAATCACAATTTTAAATAATTAAATTATATTTATTTAATATATTATATATTTAGGTGTCTTCTGACGATTCTGATCAAAACCCAGCGCCCTGTAACACTACATTTTGCCAGTGTGATTGTGATGAATTGTTAAACTTTGTTGAAGAATGTTATATATACTCAATGGAGAATTTGTGTTCATTAATTCAAACTTATGTTGATGCATCAATGGAACCATTGAAATGTTACATTCCATCATATTTATTTGACTGTATTGCAACATTCATGTATTCTGTTTCACAAAGAGTTTGCAATCCCGATAACTAAAATTTATACAAATTGCTTTCTTTATAATTTTTATGTTTTTTTGTTATTTTTTGAATAAAGTTAAATAAAATAAATATTCTTTCTATTCTGAATTACATTGGGACTGATGAATGTTAGAAAAATCTAATTAACATATAGCAAATATATGTATAATAACTATGACATATATATGTACTTCTCTAAAAAGCTTGAAGAATAGAGAGTGAACTTTTAACACCGAAATTACAGTAATAATATATTAATTAAAAATTGGACAAATACAATATATTATAGCTGAATTGAATATTAATACTTTATTATTGGAATGCATAATTACAAATTCATAACTTAACTAAATTACAAAATTTAATCGTAATAAATAAGTTGGAATCAAGTAAAGTACCATACTCTTCCCTTGAATATAATATTGACTAAAATTTGTATTAAGCCAGGATAAGAAATTATATTTTTTTGATAAAAGAACTTAACTCTTCGTTTTTCGCTTTTAGAGAATACATACTCTCGTATATGTATTTTAATGCGAAAATATAAGAACCTCAAATAAAAAAGAAAAATTCATATTTAGCTAATTTTTTTGGATAAACTTGGAAGGTGGAGACAGATTGCAAACAATTTAATTCCGATTAAGATATTAGACTACACTGCAACTAGTAATCTTACAAAAAATCTATGTTAAAAATTTGTAGGTTTTGTCGTTATAATACTCGAATTATGCTGTTTTGCGGTATAGGAACCAAGTTCATACTTTCCTACTTTTGCGGAATTTAAAAAGGATTTGGGGTTTTGATACACTAAATTGTCAAAAAATAGTATTTTTAGGATTTTGAGGGACTATAAATTTTGAGAAGGCGAGGGTACAGATAAAAATTTTTGTTTATTCAAAAGATCTATTTATATAAATCTAAAATTGCAGCCGAACAAACAGTTTGAGCACTTTTGATTTGTTAAAAAAGTGAATAGCATAGGTTTTAATTATTCAAATTACGCGATATAATGTAAATTAAGGATAAAGGATTAAGATAATATTAGATAATTAAGAAAAACAATTAGGTTTTCCTTACAATATTTTGTAATTTTGTTTCACAACGTTTCTCGTTTAAATCTTTTGAATTTGTAGATTATACTCGTATGTATGTACATATGTATGTATTCAAAAATTTTTGGGAATGCTTAATTCTCTTGATGGTTGCCATTAAAATAGCATCAGTAAATTAAAATTATTAGAAAAGTGAAAAATTAATTAAGGTAGGTACTTCACTACAAAAAATAATACTCACCTAAATAATGATAGGCAACTTAACCATATCTATTTATAAATAAAATGTAAAATAATTACTTTTATTGAAAAAAATAAATGCCTTGTAGTTTTCTCATATTTTATTTTTAAGTTATAACAAAATTATTAAACATTGAATATAAAAAAAAATAATATTATATTGGTTTAACATATGTATATAATTAATATTCTGTATATTAAAATGTCGAAATTTTATTTAGAATTTACAAGTTTTAAAGTTTATAACGTTTATACTATTAATGAAGGGCTGCGGATGATGCGACTGCTGGTTCTGCAAAAATCCATGGCCCATTGTAGCAATACCAATAGGGAACCAAGCCACAAACTTGACCTGATACACTATAAAAGAAACTTGTTATGCAATAGTATAAGTAATTCGGCAGATAGTTTTGAATTGAATTCGACATAGCTTGTGCAATATCATTCAAGAAAGAACATAATTGGCATATCAATTGATTTTTACAATCTTGCACAGAGTATAAAATATTACAACAACTATACTTTGGAAAAACGTCATCATCATTAGCAAATAAAAATGTATCATTTGCTTGATCTTGACCAACTGTTACAGACTAAAAAAAAAGAAATGAAATGAAAGAAAAAAATTTTGCTTTGTTGTTATGAAATAGAACTCTTACCACAGAAATGTAAACTACAATTAACAAAATAGGAAATAATTTCATTTTAACGTATTATAAAGCACGGAAACGTTATAATTGAAATAAATTTAAAACTTGACTGATTGCAATATTGAAAAATAATTTGTTTTATGAAATGTTTATTTAAATATCTGTTTTCATGTGTATATTTAACTGAAGTACATTGCCTTATTGTCATATTTTTGCAACTGAATTTTATTTGTTTAACATATACATATGTATGTATATACGTTTGCGCATTTAACCCAAAAACGTTTTCCTTGTATATACTAAAAACAAGTTGGTTTTGGGGAAAAACAAATATTCGAGCAACCACTGCAGATGTTATAAAATTTCAGTGTTTTTAGTTTTTGGTTTAACTCAACTCATAATTTACATAGGTATTCTCTTTTACAAAATATTTTTAAAGTCAAAAATAATTTTACCCATCCATCGAAAGTTAAATTAAATTAAAAAATGTGTTTTCCAAAGAGAATTGAAGATGTAAGTGGACAAAGGGCCTAACATTTTGACGAAAACCGAGTTGCTCTCATAGAACATCATTAAATATCATGTACTTTCAACTGTGATTACTCTTATAGCTAGAAACTTAATAGAAGACGAGGTTGACAGTGCACATAGGAGTTAAGTAACAAAAAAATTAATATTTTTACAATTTGTTAATGAAAAAAAATGTTAAGATACAAATGTAAGTTAACCCGTTTGTCCACTTACCGCTTCAATTAGTCATTAATACAATGAATACATGAATCTTTTTACTTACATTACGTTACAACCACATAATTTTTTACCTAAACTTATATAGGTACATATATTTCTTTTAATTTGCAAAAAATATAGTGGGATATTGTTATTATTACAACATTAGGCAACAAGAAATTTTAATTCTTGAAAAAAAAAAGCAATTATAGGTATATATAAATTTTTTGCACTATTTTATTCTGATCTCAGTTTCATTTAAAACGTTAGAGTACATATACTACATATACATAATCACAATGGTTTTTATGGATCTACATAATATTGAACATATATGTATGAATATTTAAACAACAAAACTTCTAGATTTAAGTTTTTTTTTTTAAATTGTAATTTTTTAGACTATTTTTATTATTAGCATTTTAAAAATTTTCCGTAAATCGAATTTTTTTTCCGTAAAAAGAGACTTTGGTGTGTTTTTTGAATTCCATAAAACCGAAATTCCGTATAAGAAGCTTTCGTTAAGCGAGGGTGTATGAGTGTATGTACATTGGAATTTATCCTGAGTATCGAATCACTAAGTGATAGTGATAATTATTGTAAAAAGTTCGATATTATTATTGAAAACACAAATCAATTTATACAAATGATTCGTGTCTATAATAAAGTTGTTGAAACTTTTATGATAAATATCACTTTTAGATAATATCACTTAGTAATTTGATATTCAGAATAAGCCACATTATAAAATTTATAAATTCCAATCATTTTTATGTATACATACATAGTTTGAAATATGTTTTCGTATGATATTGTATTTTTTTGTATATGGAAATTTGTCAAAGTTTTTTTTCACTCTTTCAAAAAAACTAGCGATAATTTTTTGGAAAATTAGAACTGAAATCTATACCCCGGTAAGAGCATAAAATTTTATTTGGTTCTGATGATCGATCGGAATTTGAGCCTAAACTGAAACCTTTTTTAAACTCACAGCGCTATTATGAATTTAGGTAGGTTTAACATATAGTGTTTACTATGAACACATGCATATGTATGTCCGACGATTAAATATGTATGTATGATGAAGATTAAATCTACGATAAAGTTTGATGACCGTTTGCATATCAGATTAAAATTATTTCTGTCATTACGTCAAAATTTGACAGTTTGGTAAGAATACATTACAACCAAAATTAAAATCAGCTTTCGCAAATAATTCCTCAATTTTAATTTTGAAAAGTTGATGAGAAAGACTTTTTTAAAAACTTGCTAAAATTTTTGCATACAAAGCGTCTGGGATAATATTTAATGTTTAAAGTTTTTCCAAGTTTTGTAAAGTAAAATTTAGAGTTTTAAAACTAATTAAAATAATCTGTCAAAACATATGTTTTTCTTATGTCAGAAGGATTTATTTTTGAAAAAAATTTTTCATCAACAATTTTTTTTTTAAACCTTTTCAATTAAAACTAAAATAAAATAAATAAAATTGATTCACAATTGGTTTTTCTAAGTTTCACATTTTTATAATCCAAAATCAAAATTTTTGGTTTTTTGTATAACCAAAAAATATTTATTTATGTTTGATAAATACTTTGAAATTTGACTTTCTCCCATATTTATAAAGTTTTTAAAGATTTTTTAAGTTTTCCGTGCGGTTTTTATTTTTTTTTAAATAATAATTCTTTTTCTTTTTGCGAGAAATTACGTCCTTGTTTCTCTTTGCTCATTGCTAATCCCATTATAGGACAATTTATATCTGTCTATGAGAAACTTTTGATTTAAAATAAAGTTAAAAGCACAGCGGCAGAAAATTGGGAGGAATAGATGGATATTAATATTAAATTTCAATATAAAGCGTTTGTTTTTATTTCCATTTTAACTATGAAACAATAGTTTTATTTTTATATTATAATATTCTTTAAACAAATCTGTTCTATTAGCCTCATTCCAAATTTTTACTTATTTTACTACAATAATGAATTGTCAAAAACACCTGAATTCAAATTATGAAAATTTTTTACGAATAGTTGGTAGTGGAACATCCATTATCCATTTTTTTCAAAATTAATTTTGGCAGTTCTAACAGAAATTTCATTGTCAGAACGACTGTTGAAATTGACCCCTGTGAAATACAGATTCAAAATATTCCATTATGTTGTCATTGAATAATATAATTATTTTATTCCTTCTTTGGATTTTAAAAAAGAAAAAACTTGTTGCAGAATTTCATAGTTGCCGTAATATAAGTGTATTTGAACAAAAGAATTTGCGGACCACTATATTTTACGGGCCTTATGGGGTTAAAGTAAGTGGAAATGTCAATTTGTTTTCACTTTTGACAATTCTGTGAACTTAATTTATGGAGTGAACGTATGAAGATTTTGTTTATCTAGAAGAGGGACAATATTGTTATTATAATTTTATTAAAAATTTAAAGAATAGGTATGCTAACTGAATATATGTAACTCATTATTATAATACTTAAATGTTTTTATTGTTTATATTAAATAGCTCCAAGATTTTAGCTGAAGTAAGTTTTGAAATTAATTGTTTTTCAATATTTATTTGCAAGAAATTGATACGAAACATTCAATTTTGCTATGACTAAATATAACTTTGATGTATTTTGCATTCATTTTATTTTTAGGAAAGAGTTCTTACAGTCTGTGAATATGTCAGAGAATTATTCAAACATTCAAAGTAATGGTGTACCAGAAGCTGTTCTTTCCTCTCAAAATTCGGATATGTCATCTCCGAATTCGAATCTACAATCGCCAACAAACACTGTTAGTAATAATACAACATCTAATAACATAGCAACTGCATCAACTATGTTAAATAGTGCACCAAATAATAGCTCGAAATTAGGTAATGCAGAAAATCAACCGGTAAGTTGTTTTTTATATTTGTTACTCATGTAGACATACTAATAATAAGGTCTATTACATATGTGTATCAATCACCTTTTTCTAAAAGAATAATTGTGTACGTTTTGATATTCGAAAACCTAAACAAATTTTAAGAATTAATAAAAAAGTTGGTAGTTTTGTAATTCATATTATTTATTAAAAAAACAAAGCATTTATATAATAATTTATGCACATGGTGTTTTATAAAAAGTATTTATTTATAAACTTTAAAAATTTAATAATGTGTTTTACAAATACGACTGGCTAGCGCATCCAAAAATTTCTGGATGCAATATACCAAATATGGAGGCAAGTGATTGCTTACTGCATTTATAATACAATTGAAAAGAAATTGATTTAGATTGCACCAAGCCTGAATAATGGTGTTTGCTACGTAATTAGTAAATATTTGAATTGACTCGCAAGTACAATCAGTTGGGGTTGGAGGTTCAGGTGGTGGAGGTGGTATTGGGGGTCCAATTATTATCGGTGGTAACGATAATCTAACTGATTCAGACTTAGGAGGAGGTTGAGCATTCACTTCTTTATTTTGTAGGAAAACCTAAGTAATGGAAAGAAAATAATATTTCAGAATTTTTGTCAAGAATATTCATCAAAAAATTATTTAGTGAATTTATATTATTAACATGCTTACCAAAAATAGCAAACCAGAGGTGAATATTAAAACAATTGTTAATTTACTTCGCTGCATTCTCGTTTTTAAATTTTGCTCTGGATAAATTGATTGTAGGAAAGGAAATAATTCTTTAAAAATAAGTTTTTAAATTTATAGACTTTTTTCATTACGGAAATGTATCAACACACTCTTATAACTGTTTTAAGCAGTTGTGTTACTATCAGATCATTCAACTAATAAACTTATAATTTAAACAGATTGTGGATTACTTGCTTAAATAAAATTTTAGTTTCCTTGCAAAAATCTTAATATGAAATTCAAAAATTTTTAAAAATGTTATTTATTTTTATTGCTATATGAATTATTATCATCAAAAATTGCACTTTTGACATGCTTTTAATGATTATCATTACAACTAAGTATATGCGTATCTAGTTGTAATAAAAATCATTAAAGATGCCAACCCTCTTTATGTACGCGTACCAGAACATTACCCAAAATTTTAATATTATGTGTAAGGCTTAAGTTTAGGGCTCAACTTTTTGAGATTTTTTAGCTTTTTAAGTAAATAATTATCTTTAAACTTTAATTTTCAAAAATTATCTAAATTTTTATTGTTTGATTTATTTACTTCGATAATCAATTAATTCTATACTTTTTGGTATTAATAAAATTTGAAAAAAATTGAGTTTTAATAACACAAAAATTCACAAAAAATTAATTATACAAAACCGTTTGTAGCTAATTTTGATCTTACATTATGAAATTTTGACAATTATAATTTCTTTTTAATTTTTAAAGTCTAAATCTTATCTCTGATCTCTAAAAATTTTGAAATTCAAAAAATTAAAGAGTTATTTATACCTTAATTTAATACATTATTAAACACAATATAAAGTTATAAGACATTAACGTAATGGTCACATATTCTTTGCTTATTTTGCAAAGTTACTACATTTTTTAATTATTTACGCAGTCTGTTTTTAAAAAAGTTGACTTAGCTTTATATATTAATAAAACACACAAAAAACGAAATTTGGACAAAAGCCGAAAGTTTAAAAAAGGCATAGGTTTTCGAATACAAGAAAGAAGCTAATCTACTGAAATTATTTAGTGTTAATCTAAAATGGGTCACGGAAAGATCGTAATTTTTTGTCTTTCAATTATTTTTGTAACCCAGGTAAATACATATAATTGTCGAAAAAAATATTTAACTGCAAGTTATTTAAAAAATTAATATGTTACATAGGTTTGCTGCGGTAAAGTAGATGTAGAACCACCACCGGAAGATATAGAAGGTCCAAAACCATGCACAACTCCTTTTTGTCTTTGCAATTGTGATGCTATAATGCAGCATGTCCAAACATGCTATCAATTTTCTTTATATCTCCTGTGCACTTTAATCAACACGTACATGAATTCTTTATTGGAAGCTTTCCACTGTTATATTCCACTTTATTTATTAAAATGTGTTCAACTGTTGATGGATCTTGTAGTGCAGAGGATTTGTGGTTAAAAAGTTGGTAAAGAAAGTGAAACAAAAAATTAAATTATTGTCTCGAAGTTTTTGTATATTAAAGTTTTCAAAAATAAAATATCTAAGTATGTAGACGTAGAGTACAATGTTTTTTCTTTTATTTTTTAATATTTAAATGATAAATATTATCGAAAATATTGCGTGGAAATGGTTTCGTCATTTAAATTTTAATTAAGTCAACATGTAATAACTAAAATTGCTTTTTATTTTTAAAAGAATGTAAGTTGTGATTGTAGAAAGGAGTCATACCAGATGTACCTACATACATACATTTTGATAAACTATAATGTATGTATGTATTTGTTAGTTTGCATAAATTTTTACATGTATGTTTGTCATGTAATCTTAAAGTGTTATTTATTCGTGTTCCTTACGTTCGAATAAAGGCTGCACCTGTTTATTTTACCAAAAGCATTTTAAAGTTCTAATAATAATATTATTACCGTGAATTACAATTCGTTTTTTGAAATAAGTATAACTCTAGAACGTTTTGTTCTTTAAAGAGTTGGAAATTGCATAGACCGTCAAATATTTTGTACAACTAAAGGCTTAAATTGATAGAATTTTAAACAAACGGTATAACAACCAAAGGCATTAAAACATAGATGTTTACTACGCTAATTATTGTGCCACTTTATTCATCTCTAGTATAACAAACTTCTAATGCGTGTGTAAGTTAATTAAAAAATTAGTTTTAATAAAATTTTATGCAGAACTTGCTGGAAACCCATGAAACCCATGACTTGCAAGGTTGCATTTTGTATTACTTTTCCAAAATGCGGTACAAAAAATTTTACAAGCAGTCTGTTCTAAAATATATAATTTGAATAATTACTACGCAGGAAGAGCATAGAGAATTATCGTGCTTAAAAAATATTATTAAATCTTGTTTTGTACAGTTTTGTTTAGTAGCAACTTGTGATAAGAACATTAAAGTTATTTGTAATTTTTTAACAAACCATATGACTTTTCCCTGCCATGGTAAACTACAACCCATAATATAGAAAACTTTTATGAGCCGTGGGGCATATTTTAATATTAAGTTTAAAAAAGTACAATGTTTTCTATTATGTATTACCTTCTAAACCTGGCTATATATAACTCAAATTATTTTGTACACATGTTTCATTTGTGAAGACGTACTTATGCATGTAACTCCAAGAAGAAAAATATATTAATTATCCCGCACAGAAATTTATGTTCTTGCTCATATACAAATAATATGGAAAAAAAAATACAGTGCCAAATATATAGGTCTTCCTCTTGCTCAAAGAGCTTGCTGTGCTCAAATTAGCGATTGTTTATTAAATTTTACCCATTATTTATGCTTTGTACATGCAACTAAAGTAGAGAATTATCTAAAGAACAAATGAAATATACCATTTGAAGAATAAAACATGTGCGTATATACTATCATATTTTTTTTTTACTCACAATACTTGACAAAGAATGTAGAAAAAATTTATTGTATGTACGAAACTTTAACAGAAACTATTTTTTTTTTTTAACCAAGGGCACAAAATTGGAAATAAATTGGTGAGCCGCAGTTATAAAATGGTTAAACTTTTATATTAAATATTAACGGCTACTTTTTATATTTCTTACTCCGTTTAAATTTTAAGCTCTTGCTTTTCCCGTTTTAAAATTAAAATTTATAAATTCGATTTGTTAATTGTAAAACTTTTAAAATTTTAAAAAGTTTCTCAGAATCAAGTTAATATGGACCAAAACAGAACAAAAATAAGGACTTTAAGTGTAACATTCCAAGCAAGGATTTTCAAATTTCTAAAGTTTGTAACAAAATATTCATGTACATAATATCTACATACATATGTACATATGTGTTTATGTATTTTACAAGCTGTTGACAGAAAAAACTGAAATCATTAAGAAAAATAATTATGTACATTCATATGAACATAACGCATATCTGATTAAAAATTTTTATTAAAACAACTGATTTTTTTTCTCTAAGACATGTAATTTTTTAGAAATCTTTTTTGTCATTTAAATATTATTGTTGTGTGTATGAATGTATAATTTCTTCAATTATTTTATCTTCTGGCTGGCGATATTGGTGGCGATGATAGCGCCATATGACCGTCTGCTTCCACCACAGGACTTGCTGCTTGCGCATAATACCACGGCCCATAATAACAATAATAATATGGAACTAAATTACAAACTTGGTAGGATATCTCATACAAGAAGCTAGATATACAATAGAATAAATAATTCGGCAAATAATTTTGCACTGAATTCGTTAATGATTGAGCAATATCATTTAGAAATGAGCATAATTGACATATCAATTGGTTTTTGCAATCTTGCACATATCGTAGTATGTTACAGCAGGAATATGTTTGAATAGCCTCAGCACTATCAACAATGTTTAATTCTTCAAATCGTAAACTTTCTTCAGCAGCTGCTATAGCCTAAAATTAGGTAGAAATTAATAAAAATACAATTTAGTGATTAAAACTTTTACCAGTGCGTAACAAATGACAAACGTTAAGAAAAAAATAGTTCTTTGCATATTGTGGATTGCTTGTGACAACGTAGGAAGACCTTTATTTCGTTATGATATACTAAAATGTTTTTCTTTGGACCTACAAAAAGTAACTGATCACTATATTGAAATGTTCTTTCTGTTTTATCAAAATTCTTTAATTGTATTTGTAAGAATTGTTTAATTTACTTTTCATATATTTTGTTTGCTAAAAAATGGTCATTGATCCTTCAACCACGTTTTTAGTTTGGACAATATTTAAACATCTTTATTCAATTTCTTATTCAGTATTTTGAATGAAAAAATTTAAAGCATTTATTTTAATGCAAACTAATTTTGTTTTTAAGCCAGATGGTGAATTAAGCGGCTGATTAAAGGTCGACTGTTGGCTTTTTTAATTTGAATTAAGTTAAAATTTTACTTAAATATTATATAATGTGTTCCGAAATCAATACCTCTGGTTACCTACATGTAAATTTGTATAAAATGATCTATCAAAAGGGAATCGAATTAGGAATGTTTTATTTTTAGTGTCTTAAGCTTTTCTTGGTGTATTAAAGAATCAGTGCTGAAACACAAATACTGTAATAATGCAATTCTCTTGCATGAAAAATCTCTGCGGTGGCGGTGTTTAGTCGGTTGGGTATATAGCCTTACAAAAGAAATAATGCAATAATATTTAACCATTTATTTATAAAAAAATATTGTTTTACGAACTTCATATCACAAGCATAACAGCAATACAAACCTATTCAGTTTTATTTTTTTCCTTAAAGTGTAATACAAATATTTGAAAAATTTAGAGAATTTTGATACACGTGCATTTTTTTAGTTTTGCCACTTCATCATAAATTTATTGTGCACCCGTATGTACGTATATTATTCTGCAAATTTATTGTCAATGAATTCGGTTAACTAAAATTTCAATATGTACACACTTTTTCTACTTGTAATACATTTTTTCAATATGTGCCTCCTTAGACATCATTGCATATGCCATTAGATCCATCACTTGAAATAATAGGAAATTTTTAAAAGTATTGAAGTTTTCAGTAGAGAATTTTAGAATGAAATTGGGTTTATTCTAATAATATCTGATCACGTCGAGTGATGTGCTTTTATGAATATAGATGATGGTATAAACGAAGTGCTAAGAACTTATAATGCCGAATATGAAAAAATTACTATTTTAGAATTATATTACAGCTTTATAAAATGTATTTGTCTTATTAACTTCGACTCAGTTTTTTCTCTGTACTCTAGCTAGTATACAATTTTATATAACAATATTATTGTTTTTTAATTTAGAAACAAAAAATGCAGTTTTGAAAAAGAGGTTTATACTTATCAGCCATAATTTTTCGTAACTTTAATTTTGTTAATTTATTTTTCTTGGGAAGAGGCGTTATATTCATATTTTACTTATTTATGATACTTATATGTAGATAATTATATATTATTACTTTTGTTTCTTGTATTTTGTAGATACTAACCCGTCCTCGTCTGCAAGAGTTAGTTCGAGAAGTTGATCCAACGGAGCAGTTAGATGAAGAAGTTGAAGAATTATTACTACAGATAGCGGATGACTTTGTCGAGGATACTGTAAAATCGGCATGTTTATATGCGAAACACAGAAAAAATTCAAAGATTGAAGTAAAAGACGTTCAACTACATCTAGAAAGAAAATGGAATATGTGGATACCAGGTTTTGGAACAGATGAACTTAAACCATATAAAAGAGCGGCAATAACTGAAGCTCATAAGCAAAGATTAGCATTAATAAGAAAAACAATTAAAAAATATTGATTAAATTAAAAACATTAATACTTTTATATCAACATAATGTAATTCAAAATCATTTACTAGGTTATTATTTCAAATTTTAAAAAGATATCAAATTAAAAAAAAAATACCTTTAATTTCTTGTTTTTAATATTTTATGGCATATAATGTGAAATTTTTGCTTCTACACAAGCTTTAACTTTAAATTTAAAGTTCTTGACGCTTCTCTATTTTAAGTAGCTCTACTTCAAATATTAATGTCGAATCTGGCGGAATTTTGCTCCCACTACCTGATTTACCATATCCCAATTCTGGCGGTATAACTAGCCGTCGTTTTTCGCCTTCACACATTCCGAGTAAACCTTGGTCCCAACCTTTAATCACTTGATTGCTACCCAATGTAAATGTGAACGCATTACCTCTTGGATAACTAGAATCAAATTCAATGCCATCTTTTTGCAGGGTTCCCTGAATATTGATAAAAAAAGTGAAAAATTCATAAGTTACTTTTCTTTGTGGCAAGCTCTTGGAGTTATATAACTTCAATTATGTTTTGCAAAAACAAGCTTTTCCCAAATTAAATTTCTAGAAATAATTTGAAATAGGTGCTTTCCAATAGTTTTTATTATAGGTGGCTGCTTTTAAAGCTAAAAAGAGCTGTTAGTTTTAGAAAGGCAGATTTACAAAGGCATTTAGAATTTAAAAGTTAAAATTCTAAATACCTTCGTAAAATTTAAAAATTAGAAAATTAAAAGTTTAAAATTTATTATATGTACATACATATATACATATGCATATACCTAATCTATTGTCAGTGTATTTTATATTAGTACTCGACAGTGATAAAAGCTATGAATTTTCCTCAATTTTAAAGTCAGACGATTGGTCACAATCAGAAAACATAATTCTGTTTCTTTTATTTTATTTACTTTTGTTAAATTTACCTTATAGTGAACATGTACAAAGTCTCCTCTTCTTGTTTTTGAACTATCATTACAATCAACTCTTCTTTTTATGCCAATTTGAACTTTAGGTTCGTCTTTGCATGAAATACTAGCAGTACATGTGAATAATAAAATTAAAATAAATTTCATGATAAATTCTTTATGATTATAATTTTTAAATTTATTAAAGTTTTCAAAAATTTTGTGTACAAATTTTGTATTTGTTTGTATGTAGGGTACTTTTTATTTGTATACTGAATATAAACAATATAAAATTTGAAAAAATATTATATGTACATAAACCATAGATTGAACTGAAATAGATAGTCAACAGTCAAAATAGAACAAAATTTTTATTTTGGTTTTAGTTCCACATTCGGAAACTTGGTGGTGTATGTTTAGCGGAAGATTTTTTTTAGGTCTAGTACACGCATACAATTTTTAATTTTACATTCATTTGATTGCTTATTTGTTTTTAATATTAGCTAATATGGTCCAAACATCCCAGTAAATATTGCTTAATGTTTTTTTTTTTTAAATTAAAGGAAAGTTAGAAGAAATTTTTTTTTAGCAATCAAATTTCAAAAACTAAAATTAGCATGGGACATTTTGATATTAAATAAAACAGTTGAACGATTATCACTTTAATTGTAAACTGAAAACATTTTAAAGTAGCAACATAGCTTATTCGGGGAGGTTTGCTTAATGAAGCTTAATAGTTCGAATTTTATTACAAACTCAGAACAATTTTTTAGTTGAAACAATCGATTTGTGTTGAGGTAATTGTTAAGTTTATTTAACGTGCGCAAAATTAATTTAGAACTAAGTAAATGGAAAACTAAAAATTGTACGTGTGCTTCCCAGCGGTGGTGTTGTGTGTGTGATTTCAGATGGTGTTATTAAACACAGTAATTTGGTTTTTTAAACTAAGTCACATAGGCACCTTCAAGAGACAGAATTAAATTATAGATCTGTTATTTTATTAAAAAATATTAAAGTCTCTATCTCCATAATGTGTTTTTCACTAAAAGTTTTTTGACATGTTGTATTAATTTTGTTACATTACTGTTAATGAAAAAGACTCAATTATTTTTTTTATCAAACATTTATGAATACGTTATCTTATTTCATTTTTTTGAAACTGTTTCATAAAAAATGTGTTTTTTTTTAACTGGTTTTATGGCTGGGAACTAAGAACAAAAATACCGCAGTTTTATGGCTGGGAAAAAATATACCCCAATATTACAAAGTTTAACATTTGGACAAGCTTAAAGAATAAGGCTTATCCATCAGCTCGTGTTGGGGCTATTGTGGCTCCTTCTTTGTTAAGGCAGGTTTCTATTAGGGATAACGTAAGGAATCTTATGTCTGTTGAGTTATACAAAGTTCGCTGTCACTCTACTGATTGTGGTAGGAATGAGCCGGTCACTAGAATGTTGCGTTTTGTTGATTCTAATTCTGTGGTATTTTATCCTGCTATTAGTAAGGGTACTCTTAGATCTAGACTTTTGTGTAATTTAAATTTGTAGTAATATTTTCGTTCCTTCTTGTTCTTCTATTTCTCTCTCGTCTTTAGTTATCTATATTATCTATTTTGTTTTTCTCTTTTCTGTTTGCCTGATGGTCGGTTTTTTGTTAGTCGTTAAGGTTTTTTGTTGTTATTATTATTTTTAAGTTGTGCTTGTCATTCCATTTTACTTGCCTTTTTGCTTTTCGCTTTTTGACCTACATATTCCTTTCTTTTTCTCTCTCTTTCCTATAAATGATGACACTATTCCTTGGGAACTGATAGTGGTTTAGTTGCGACTAAATGATGTTTTTTTTGCGCCTGTTGGCGATATGCCTCATGCTTGATTTAAGTAATGTATGTCTGATATCATCAAATGATCAGAAAACGACAACATTACACATAAAGTGATTGTGTATCAAAACTGTTCGTGGATGGTAACAGATTTACAAAGATATTCATTCAGATAATACACAGTGCTGCAGTAAAGTAGATTGTTTTAAAAACTAAATTTTATATAATTTGTATTTTATAATTTAGTTTGTAATAATTTATGTTTCTGCCTCAAAATTTTTTTTATTTATGAAATCAATTCTAAATTTCTGAAGTATTTCCGTCTTTTAAAGATTAATTGTATCTATGTATGCAGAAAAAGTCTAATAAAATCAGTATCAAAAATAGGAACAAAAACAAAAGAAGAAAGAATAAGAACAACTTGTTGTAATGAATCAATTGGTACCCATACTGTCGCTCATTAATATTTAAAGCTGTCAAAATATGAATTTGTATCTTATATTGAAAGAAGAGATGTTTTTCGTGTTTGCTTGTGTGAACATACTTAATTAAATTTGAAAATATGTCATAGTCGATTAACCATAGATGTTGCCATCTTTATATTGAGTTTCGAATTAATTTATGTCTCGTTTGCGTATACATACAAATTATAACGCAAGCGTTTAAAAATGAAGTATTTATGTTAAAACTTATTTATTTTATTTTATAGAGAAAATAAACTGTTTTACTCTATTTTTTATATTATACATAAATATTGGAATATATTTTCAAATTATCCCAAGATATCTTGATTTTCTGCTATTTATTTGGTTTTGGTTTTAATTAATACGAGCCTTAAAAGTGTGTGGAAATCAAGCAATTAATTTCTACGATTATTTCACCTTCGATATCCTTTTATAATTGAATAATGAACTAAGATGCGAAATGTGTAATTTGCCATCAAAAAATTAAGTTGCTGTCAAAAAATATCTTATTAAATAACCATCAAGAATCATTAAATTTTCACCGGGATGTATTAAATTGCCAAGAGTCTATAACTAGTGAAATGGTCCCTGTTAAGAAGTAATGAATTGTTACTTGCGAAAAACAGTTTTATAATTTACATTTGTCCCGGCGGGTGGGGGTGCGAAATACCCGCAGTAGGAATGCTTGTGTTAAGAGTCCACTAAAATCCCGTACGAATCCAGAAGCGTCTGAATGAACGGCTGTCTGGTCTGCAACGATCCCTGAGGGACGGCAGAAATTTGGCATGCTGTCTTGCACGAGGTATTTATTGTCAAACGCTAGGAAAAGTAAACTCCGAAATAAAACAAAAACAAATGCAATGAACAAAACAAAAGGATTTTATACCCCAGGTGGTAATCCAATAAATCTGGGAAATCCACACTTTTCGGAGGCTGGTCTCACGGAGACCACTTATTGCATCAAACTACTAGTGAGCTAGAAGCGCTTTGTAAAGAATTAAAAAATGAAATCCAATATCAGAAATCTCAAAAAGGAAAATAATAAGCCGAAATTGGAATCAAGCAATGTAAATGCAATAAAAAAAATAAATACGGAACAGTTGCGACAAACAAACTGCACAGACGAGGAGGATCTGGCTCGAGAAACCGATTGTATTCTCAAGAAAAAAAGCAAAAAGCCAACAGCAGATGTGTCACCTGAAAAAAGTCCTGTGGACAAGGTGAGCAAAATAGAAAAATCTGTGCAGATAAATGCACTATAAGAAAGATCAAACACTACAAGAAAGATCAAACCCCCTTCTGTTATATTAAGCAATGTGGAGGATTATTCAAAAATAAAGAAGATGCTAAAAGAAGCCAAAACTTTAAACTTAAAATCAATGTTGGTCAAGAACAAGATTACAGAGAATTAACAAATTAAATAAATGAATCTAAAGTGGAGTGCCATACTTACGAAAATAAAATGACAAGACCCATCAAGGTGATGGCTAGGGGGTTGCATCCTTCGTCCCAACCTGAAGATATTAAAAATGAGCTAAAAGAGAGGGGCTTTAAAATTATTGAAGTCGTTAATAAAATTAGAAAGCAGAATAAAGAAAACAAGACTACTATGATCCGACTTCCCCTCTTCATGTTAATCTTTGGAAATTCGGAGGACATAAATAAAATTTACAAAATTGATGTACTTCAGCACATGAAGATTAAAATTGAGTCACTAAGGAGAAATAATTTAGTTCCTCAGCGCACCATTTAACGATAAATTGTAGTAAGCAAAAAATCGATGCTTCAAAGTGTGCAAATTGCTCTGAGGCACATTCTACGAATTACAGGGGTTGTATAGTCGCAAAGGAATTACAAAAAAGAAAATATAACATTACAAAACAGAAACAAATTAAAATAATACCAAAAAATACCCCAAAAACTCCAAAAACAACTTCATTGAATAAAAAAATGCAGGGAATACAATATGCCCAAATGGCGAGGGGTTAAACATATAACCATACCAAAGAACAAAGAGATCTACCACCTCAAATACCTGCTGAAAGCAATATAAATATAATGATGCAAAACATGATAAAAACAAGCATGGTAAGGCTTATGTATGTACGCCAAAAAGAATTCACTCAAAGATCTCCTGAATCTCCTTAAACAAAGGTTTATTCTGGAAGGTGACTATAAAGCCAAACATATTGATTGGTGTTTTAGATTGACGTCAACAAGAGGTATAGAGCTAAGAAAAGCTATTAAAGAGGTTGGTTGTCACTCCCAATCCACTGGTAGACCGACATATTGGCCACGTGATAGAAATAAGATACCAGATCTGCTAGACTTCTTTATTGTCAAGAAAATCTCGCCAAATTTCATTAGTTTAGAAGTTAACTATTATTTGAATTCGGATTATTCTGCAGTTATATTAAACTTAACTGATACAGTTACCAAGAAAGAAAATAAACCCATGTTGATTAATAAATCCACTGACTGCACTACTTTTAAAGAAGAGATAGAGAATTATATAAATTTAAGAATTAAAGTACTAACCTAAAATGATTTGGATTTTGAGGTGGAGGGTTTTAATAAAATCATACAAAGCGCTGCTGGGAATAATACAAAATACTATGAGTATAAATACGTGGGTATGACTTATCCAAGAGATTTATACTCATATAGAAAAGTTTAAAGTCAAGGAAAGCACCGGGATTACCTCTGATAATCTAATTACCTCAGAGGTAATTAAATCATAATTTAATAAAATTATGATTTAATTACCTCTGAAAAACTGAAGCAATTACTAAAAAAGGGTATAACAATGTTGACATTTTTTAAATGAATTCTGCATTAAAATTAAAATATGTGCCTAATGCTAAGATATAATGATACCAAAACCTGGTGAGCCTTTACATGAGACCAAGTCTTATAGACCAATTTCTCTGCTACCAATTTTGTCGAAACTTTTTGAAAATATTACTGAAAAAATGGGACCT